GGCCTACGGAATATCAAAGACTCAACAAGTTATCCACCCTCAACCCAATCAAACCGAACCATTGAACTCTGAAAGAGAGGAGGAGAATGAGTTGAAATGGTATACCCAAGTGGAGGTTCCTTTTGGTTTTGCCAACTAAGAGATTTAGCTATTCATGCTTAAAATAAAGACAACAATATAATGAGAAGACATTATAAAAAAATAAAGACTAAAGCTAAGCATAAACGAATTGTATAAGTTTAACTTCCGGATAACCACCTCTTACTAAAGATTGGATGAGAAACTACTCATTCTTCATGGCTTTGTTAAAAATAGAAAAGTGAGTGATGCTCATCCCTCCAAGTAGAGGAGTTACAAGGTAACACATTTTACACAAGGAGCCGATCTTCGACAAAGAATGAGTGAATCACGTTCCACCCTTTACGGCTTTGGTAAAACTCTAGAAAAGTGAAAGAGTTTCACTCCTCTAATGGAAGAAGGAAGCTCAAGCAATGGAAGTAAAAGAGCAATAACACAATAAAAGAAAGCAATACTTAAAGTAAAAGAAAGCAATAAATTAAAAGGAAGCAAGAATACAATAAAAGAAAGCAATACTTAAAGAAAGCTATAAACAATAAGGAAAACAATAATACTTTTGGAGGGTTTTCCACTACCAAAAGATTAATGTTTTACAAGTCCTAAGGGGTGGTATTTATAGGCAACAAGGGAGGGTGAAAGTCTTATTAGGTGGCCCTGAATCTTGTTAGGTGGACTTGAAAATCTTGTTAAGTGGCCTTGAATTCTTTGATCCTCCTTTGTTTTGAGCTTTGATAATTGGCACCCCAGTAGTTTGTAACTTTAGCTTTGACGCACAAAATCCTGAAAAGAACAACAATTAATGCATTATCTTTTATTCACACACTAATTCTAATTTGATTTATTTTGACTAGTTTAACTTTATTCAACTAACACAATTTATCTATTAAATTATGCCTTAATTAGGGTTAATCACACCCCCCAACCTAAATATTACTAGTCCCTAGTAATAAACAACATAACAAAATAAAATCACTTTCATAGATAACACGATTGCATTTAGCATATGCAATAAGCCGTTAAACCCCTAGGTGATCCCTAGTGGACGAGTTTTATCTCGTGAAGGTTTCTAGTGAAGCTACCTACAAACTCCAATTGAAAGATGTGTATATGTAAGATTTCTTGTCAAAATGAATTAGCAACAGAATCATTGAGGCACACATCTCTTAATTTTGAATTGTTTTCCGAACACTTTTCTGTCATTGATACGTACTCTATACAAAAATAAACACTTGTTACATTGGTATTTGGAATTCCTTGTGTAGTAGGAATGATCATTCTAGTAGCAAGAATTGTTATATAACAAACATTCTACTTTATCACCTTTCATAGATAGTTTTGATTTCTCAAATCTCTTTTAGAATGCTCTCAACAAAAAATTCACTCCGATTATAGTGACTTGTCTCTCAAAAGGCATGTGATCAGAGGATGGTCAATCGAAGAATCACATGCACAGTTAGAAAGGGAGTGAAAGTCTTAAGAAAGTAGGCTAATCATGTTCTTGGTATAATCTCATGGAAGAATATCAATGCAATTAAAGAAATACTATTTAACATACCCCAGTTTTCAGTCAACAGCGCACATGCATTAGACTTGAGATCAATTAGGACTTTATATAAGTTGTAATGTGGTCAGAGGTTAGTGGCTAATGAAATGACGTCAATGGTATTCAAAAGTTATCCCATTTTTTAATGTAGCACACCTCTTTCTTGCTTTTCAGTCTTTTTCCTAGAAATGGTATTTCTTTCTTTCATTTTTTTTTTCGATTCTTCGTTGAACAGTAGCCACCATCTTCTTTTCTGTTTTTTCTTGCCTTTCTATGTCATACCGATTTATAAGAGGGTGCAAGAAAAAATTAGATAGCAAGGTATGTTAAGTGTATTTTTTTTTTTGTGTGGCTCGGTTATTATATGGGTTTTTTGAAAAAAAAAATCATCATTCATTGAAGGCTCAAACATGGCTAATTAGAGATATAATTTTGTAGAAGCAATGACTAAGGTTCAAAATCAACTCAAAAATGACCTAAAATCCTTTCTCAAGTATGTGCCTGTGTCGCATGCAAAGGTTCACTGTAGGTTATGTCAATAGATTACTTTAGTTGAATTTAATCAAAGCAAGTTTATGAGATTATTTAACAATTGAAAGTGAAAGAGCTTACTTGAGTAAATGTTGATTGTCTCTTAGAAAGAATCGTAAGACTCAAAACTTATCATGGTATTCTTCGTTATCTTCACTGGTTATGTCAGGTTTTCAAAGAATGTCAGTTATATTATAATTCTATTTTCGAGTCTGGTCATTCTGTACCATAAGATTAACAAATACCAATGTACATTTGACATTTAAGCATAGCGAAAATACCATTTTTCAAAGAAATGCAGTTTTTTTTTTTTACTCGAATAAAAATCAAAACTATTTACATACACATTTATCTACGAAAATTTACAAAAAGACTAAATGCACATATTGAACTTGAAAAACTATGGTGTCTGAGGATAGGTCCCTACCCACGCTACAAGTTGGCATTTTAGGACAATCCTTACTCGACCCACATTTTTATTTCAACAAAAAGACTTTGTACATAAACAAATATTTACAAAAAAAAAATTTCGGACCATTAACCTTCATCCCCAAAACACATTTTTTTACAGCTTGAGAATCGTTGCTTGCGGAGTATAATTTGCATGATAATATGTTGATGAAATTCACTTGGGCATTGCAAAAGAAATGAGGGCATATGTATATGAAGAGGACTTTCACTGCAGAAATGAGAAGCACCCAATTGAGTGAGAGCTTGGATGCAACCTTACAAAAGTACTTAAAGCCAGACCATGACATTGTTCAGTTCTTGTATATTTTAAAAGAGTTGTGAATGATAAGCGGTATAAGGAGTTCAGAATACCAAGTTAGACAAAAATTACCTAGATTGAAATTACAAAGAGCTCCTGTGTTAGTGCAAGTAGAGCAAGTGTACACTTCTATTATCTTTAAGCTGTTTCAAGATGAGTATGATATCTTTCAGTGTGCTATTGCGACACCATGTGATATGTTGGATGGATGGCATAAATTTGTGGTTCGATTATTTGATGAACATAAAGAGTACTTGGTCTTGGTTAAGGCAAATGAGGAGATAGTCAATTGTAGTTGTCGAAAGTTTAAAATGGAGGATATATTATGTGGTCATGCACTTAAAGTCTTGGATATGATGAATATTAAATAAATTTTTGAGCAATACATATATAAGAGATGGAAACGAGATGCAAGACAGAGTTGTAGGAAAATTCTCAATACCATGTCAAATGAAAAGAATCCCAAGATAATGGTGGCGTTACCTTATAGGCAACTTTGTTCTAAAATGGTAGAACTAGCTGCTCAATGCTCTGTTCTTTAACCTGCATATCAATTAGTGTCACGTGGTGTTAAGGAATTGTTCAAACAAGTGGATAGTATATATGCATCAATTGGTGATGGTGGCAATGATTCAATCCATGAAGAATGAATAGAAAATGTTGACCCAAACTTTTTCTAAGTTAAAGGTTTTAAAAAAAAAAGAGGGACGTTACAAGGGTTGGGGTCGACTAAAATTTTGGCATGAGAATGCAACAAAGAGAAAAAATGGAGTTTTTCAACCATCACATATGTCTAAGATATCGTATAAATATAATTGTAGATTTTTAAATTCACTTCATATTTTTATAAACAAAAATGTATTTATCACAAGCTTTGGCATATTTTTATTCACCTCATATTTTTATAAACATAATTGTAAGTATTTTTGTATTCTAGGTACATGATTTCAGTCACCCATGTACATTGGCATATGACCATTCGAATATATTGTCTTCTCAAGCTTCAAATTGTTTACAAAGAATTATGGTATGCATCAAGTTTCTTTGTCATTCGATATATGGTTATTCGGTATCAATTTTCTTTGTCTAACCTCTTCTCATTAATATAGGGTACTCAAACTAATTCAACACATGTGTATTCTTTAAATGATGCTGAATCACTTTTCATGAATGAGGGATGCTTGGAGGATCAATAACTGTAAGGATGATTGGAGGATACTAGTTGCTTGTTGGATTGGGAGATACTAGTTACTTAGGGAATATCAGTTGGAATGAAATTTTGTTGAAAACCATGTATTTTGTATTTTTAATGAACGTGATTTTTTTTTATGAACATGATCTTTTTTTCAAGTCACAACAATATACAAAACCCACAATTTCATTCAAATTAAACGCACAAGTTTATTCATAACACAAGTTCCATCAATACACCATTACTCTTACATCTCTACTTCACTAGAATCACAAACATAAGCATCACCACTAGTTGACTACAAACATTTGCAACTTCATTGCTCCTTATTTTGCCTCAACACGTTGATCTAGATCACAAAGTTCTTCAATCTTCAACTTCAATGTCATTACATCTTCTTCAATTCGTTGTACATCCATCCTTTCATTTGTAATTTTTGAAGAAGGCAAAGTAGTAGGATTCATCCACTTAAAAATTTGACGTCCCCCGTTTGAACATTTGCAGTATAACTTCCTAGGATTTTTTGCAGATTCGAAAACTTTGATAATCGCTCTTTTCATACAATTGGGGCATTGAATATTGCGATATCTTAACTCGTCGTTGCTTCTTGTTGTGCTTGAAGACGTCATTCTTCAACACTATAAACTTGAAAAGACAATGCATAAGTGCTAGTATAACAGTGCTGATATAGCAAAATGCATAAGTGTTATGAAAATCTAGGCTTATACATTAAAATGCATAAGTGATGGTATAGCAAAATGTATAAGTGCTTTGGTATGGCATTCAGTTCTAATCTTAAATTAATGATAATTAAATTGAAAGAATTCACACAGGTAGAACTGCTTGAACCAGCTATAACTAGTTCTCGGAATATACTAAATGCTTGTATGAAGGCTGAAGTGATAAAGGTTGTGGTTGTATCGTCTATTAGGGTTGTTGTGATGAACCCTTATTGGCCCAAGGATCAGGCAATGGATGAAAGCTATTGGAAATACATAGAATATTGCAAATCAATTGAGGTATTTCAACAAATACACCTTCAGAGTTCATCACAACAACAAATAACTTCCTTGATTAGTCAACCATCAAGTCAAAAATGATTTTTTTTTCTTTTTCAGGTCACAGATGATAAGTGTAAATTGGAAAGAGATTTTCACAAGTTAACCAAGGTATCTCATGTTCAGCAATCAACACCATTTATGGACTATAATATTTGTAGTTTCACTGAGTATCATGACTTTGAGGCATCCTGCAAGTGCACATTGGGACATGGATGTATCGACTTTTTGAAGTCCACTTGCTAATGATAATTACGTTGTTTCTTTATGTGCCTATCATCAACAATTATCATCACCAAATCCTTTCTGGCATTTTCTCAAATAAGTGGAAGGGTGGGGAGGTGTGTGTGTGAGAGATTTGCTTGAAGGAGAAAGAGGGAGATAGAGAGAAATGAGAAAGGGAAGGGAGAAGGAAAGAGAGAGAGATGAGATATAAATTAGCTTCTGTGCTCTAACTATAATGTGAAGAATGTCAAATTTATCGCCGGTTTTCTTCATGAAAGCATCTCCAATTTCAACATCAAATGCTCATGGAATTAAACCAATGCCGATAAAATGAAAGGTTTTGTTGAAAAAAAAAAAGAAGAGAGATGAGCCAATTTAACGAGAAATATGACTTGAGAGAGTGATCGAAGGAACAATTGAATTTGAATTTGACAGATCTAAATTTGAATTTGAATTTGAGTTGTGAGACAATACATATGACAATTGTTAACATAGAGAGAACATATGTTGCCTAAAGTCGGAGCTACCTGAGGTTGTCGGAGCTACCTAAGGTAGTCAGAGTTGCCTAAAGTAGTCAAATCCAAATCTGCTGATGTCGCAAGGCTCTACTGTTAAAGTCTAACGAAGACGAGGGGTGCAGATCTTCAAGGCTGGAATTTCAGAGACCAGCCAAACGACGTCGTTTTTGGTAAGAAAGATTAAAAAAAAATGCAAAAAACACTTCAAACGATGTTATTCCACTTAACCGCATATCATGCAGTAAGTGAGTTACCACAAAAAAGCCACACCTATAGAGTTTTGTGGATACTGGTGAGGTTAGCAATGGGTAGGGAAGGAGGGAGGGAGGGAGAGAGAAGAAGGCAAGAACAACAAAGAGGTTTGGGAGAAGAAGGGGCTTGCTAATGGGGATGAGACACATGATTATGTCAAATTGGTGACACTTGCACAGTTCACAGGCAAGTGATGCAATTTCTTTAGTGCGTCACAAAGTAAATTTTTTATATTATATTCTAGTTTTTTAAAAATATTATAATTTACCTTTTCATTAATTTTTGTTATTACAAATACTAATAGGAAAATTTTTTACAAAATAAGTAATGGAGGCTAACAAAGAGTTCACATTACAATATTTTTAACACATTAAAGGTGTAATATAAATATTTAATTTTTTAGGGTATAAATTAAAAATGTTTAAAATTTTTGGGTACAAAATGTAATTCCCCATTTAGGTAAAATTTAGTTCATTTCCAAGTTCACAATTTTGATTAGGATAACATTTGATGCACTAAAGTATTTTTACTCTCATGTTAAAAAAATAAAATAAAAAAGTATTTTTACTCTTTTATTTTTGTATTTGTTTTTCTTATCCCAATTAACTCTCTACCTTCAAACTTTAATTGCATTTAAATAATACTTATAATCACGCTTGTTAATAAATTAAATTTTGATTGATTTGAATTTAAATTTAATTTTAAAAGTCTTATCCAATTATACGACATATTTTATTTTTATGGCCATATTAGAATCCGTTAATAATCTAAAATTTGATTTGATCTGAATAACTTAATTCAACTAAAATTTAATAAATTATATCTAAATTTTAACAAAATTTCTTCAAATAATCATTTAGTTTCTTTACTAATTAAATACAAATATATAAATATATATATATGTGTGTGTGTGTGTGTGTGTGTGTGTGTGGGTCGATTCAAATATAGATACATTCAAATCGAAATCCATGAAATATAAGATAATGGAATTGAATTATTGACAAAAAATATTAAATTATATTTGACTCGCCGGATTCAAATCAAAACTTGATCTATTGACATGTTTACTTATAATGATTCTTTTTTGTTTTTTATGTCATTTTAAACACGACACTACGATTTACTAAAATTTTCAAAAAAAAGAAAAAGAAAAATCTATCGGTATCTCAAAATAACCAAACAACATATTTCAATTGTCATTCCAACCCAAAATGGACTATTAGATACATCATTGCAATCTAATAATCTGTTCTTTTGTGGAACGCTAAGAAACCATTTGCTCCTTCATTTTTTTTTCTTTTTGTTAAATCGGTAAATATTAATAATCTATTTCTTTTATTTTTTATTTTTTAACTTCACAATAATTCACTCATTTGTCAATACCAATTAAGGATCGGCAAATGACCCATTAGTCGTCTGGTTGCACAGTCTCAGGATGGCCCATGGACAATTTAACACTAATCTTGTCAAATTTAGACACGACACGAATCGATACAAAATAAACAAGTTTGAGTAAGATTTTATTGGGTTTAAATGATAAACGGGTTGATCCGTTAGATACGTTTAATAAATGGATTGTGTTCAAGTGAATTTTGTTAACCTATTTATCACCCGTTTATTCGTTCAAATAAAATGAATATAATAATAAATTAATAATTATTATAAAAAATTAGACATATTTTTTTTAGTGACAGCCACATAAAATATATATATATATATATATTATTTTTAGTGACAGACACAATTTTTTTTAATTTAGTGACAACCATAAAAATATAATAATAAACAAACAATAAATTAAAACTAAGCGGGTTAAACAAGTTGTGTTGTGTTCTCCGTTTATTAAACAGTTCGTGTTCATGCGAAGGTTTTTCACCCGTTTATTAAACGGGTCGTGTATGAGTTTACATGTTTTTCACTTGTCACCCGTTTAATCCGATACGTAACCGTTTAACCCGACACGTTTGACAACCCTACTAACAACAATGCAACAAATAGGATTGATGCCTTGTTTATAGTTTACTGGGGTCTAATGTTTCTATCAAATATTCAATGTATTGGATTTTATCTTATCATTTAGAATTTAATATTTGATAAACAAATTTGAGAAGTATTATTTTATTCTAAAAGTTATTAGAGGTTATACAATTTGATGGGATTCACTTGTCTTACATGGTTATTCATAATTGATTGCTTATACTACGTAATGATAATGACGTGATCTAATTGTTGCATCGAATATTTTCTCATTGTTTCCAACTTATTAGTCTAGTAAAATTAAAGAAATATTGCATAATGATATTCCAAAATTTTAAAAATAAATAAAATTCTTTAGGACCCACCGATGACTGGCGCTAAAAAATTAATTAACATTATCCACTTTAGCACACCGAAACAAGTAGAAAAAGAAATGGGGGATTAGAAAACCTTAAACCCTTCGAATTTAAAAACCTAAAACCCTAGAACCTGCTTCTTCTAGACCCTTCTTTCCTCTTCACAACTACACCGAACAACAGAGCATTACCACCTCTGCTTTGTTCCTCCAAAACCTCCACCCACTCTTCTCTATCTCTCTCTAGAGTGCGATACGACTTGTAACTTATACCCTGCAAAATCTATAATCTCTTGGGCTATAATATGTACCGTTTTGCAGCAAATCTTGCCTCCAAAGCTAGGTACTTTGACCCGCCTCAGTCCATATTTTCCACTATCTCTTTACAGGACACAGTCAATATTTGGGTGTAATTCCATATTTGTGATCTTTTTCTGATTAAAAACCCATTTTTGTTTAATTTGCAGGGTCGCTAACAACAGCGCCAATCAGGTAATTAGTACTCTTTTATTTGTGACTTACTATATTTGTATGGTTCATTTGCAATTTTAGAATGTAACCCTCTCTTTTACTCTATATATGTATAATATATGTATCGTTCACTTGCAATACCAATAACATATTTATAGTGTTTTTTGAAACCTATAGGGAAGATTATGAGTGTTTGAAAAACTAGAGGGGGTTGTAGGAATTTTAATAAAAAATGAGGGGAGCCATGGTACCTCTTGGCCTACACATGGTTCCATCCCTGTGTGTGCGTGTTCTGGGTTTGGTTTGGGATGCAGATTGGCAGTAGGTTGGGTTGGAACAAAACTACGTGGCTATAATGTATAGGTGTGTGTATGAATGCATATTCTTATGTATGTATTGTGTTTGTGGTTGGTGGATGCAGATTAGTAGTAGGTTGAGTTGGAGCAGAAACTATGCTGCTAAAGACATTAGATTTGGCGTGGAGGCTCGGGCTTTGATGCTTAAGGGTGTTGCAGAGCTCGCCGATGCAGTTGAAGTGACTATGGGCCCAAAGGTCAGTTTCTTTGCCTCTAATTATGCGGACCTATTTATTTTATTTTTCAATTCTCCTTGGGTTGAATCTGTCATGCTTTCTTTAATCAGAAATATGTGAATTTTACAGCATTATTTTTCTGTTCCAAAGAAGTCAGCAATCAAACTTCTGAATTATTTATTTACACTACATTGTCCAAGCTAATAGTTGAAGATGGATTGTGATCAAGAATATTTGGCCAGTTTTGGGTCTCTTGTGAACTAATATTGATTTCACATACTAAGAGAGAGGTAAAGAGAGACCATGATGATGTTTGTTGTTTTTCATTAGTCTTCTCCAATCTCCATTGTCAGGTAGATATTATTGTATCTTTTACTCTTGAACTATTTGTAGCAAGTTTTGTATTCAATTTCCAAGCCTAGTCAACTGAGCATAGTATGATTAGGTTGTGCGATTTGTATTTTGTAATCCAGCAGGCAGAGGTGATCCCTATACTTGTTTCTCCTTCCTGAAAAAGTAGGTGTAAATGGAAGCGATTTCACATCAAAGTAATACGAGTTGGGTTTGAACTTGCACTAGATTGCAAGAGGCGTGTGTACTTGAGTACATTCTAGCTATTTATATTCTTGGTTCTTTCAAGTTTCAATATGAGGAGCAATCACTGACTTGATTTTGATGTGATCTGTATTGTCAATATGGCTGATGATTTTAATCACTGGAATTTTGACATATGAAGGGGCGTAATGTGGTGATTGAACAAAGTTGGGGTGCACCCAAAGTGACAAAAGATGGTGTTACTGTTGCGAAGAGCATTGAATTCAAGGACAAAATCATGAATATTGGTGCAAGCCTTGTAAAACAGGTCGCCAATGCTACCAATGACGAGGCTGGTGATGGTAAGTATAAATCAACACTTTCTTTTAGTTTGATGACTGAACTGATGTGCTAATGGCTTTTCCTTGAGATCTCCCTGGTTTCATATGATGAAAGATCAGACTTGTTGACGAAATGGCTTCCATGTTTGTAACTTTGTATTACTTCATCACTTTGGGTTTGAAGTTTGAAGGAGCATTGGAGAAGTAAACCCACTTATGCCTTTGTAGGTACTACTTGTGCTACGGTCCTGACCCGTGCAATATTTACCGAAGGGTGCAAGTCAGTTGCAGCAGGTATGAATGCAATGGACCTTAGACGTGGCATCACTATGGCTGTTGATGCTGTGGTAACAAACTTGAAGAGCAGAGCACGGATGATAAGCACATCTGAAGAGATAGCACAGGTTTGTTTACTAGGCTTGAGTCATTCTGAAGTGTATTACCTTGCAAATACCTATTTAGTTTAGAGGCATCTGGAGGACCCTTAAAGGACCCCAGTTTAGATCTTGCAGATTAGTAGTCCAACCTAGGTTAATGTATTGTAGTCTGCCTCAGTGTTTTGAAAAGCTCGCCTAGGCGAGAAGCGAGGCGAGGCGAGCTTAGCTCGCCTGGAGGACCCCAGGCGAAGCGAACGTGAGCGAAGCGAGAAAAAAGCGAGAAAAAAGCGAGAAAAAGCGAAAAAGCGAAAAAGCGAAGAAGCGAAAAAAGCGAAAAAGCGAACGCTTTATTATAAAAAGCGATTCTGCTTCACTTTTTTTTTTTTTTTTTTTTTTTTTTCTGATTACAGGTTAGTAGTCTCTTTTATTTTTTAATCACTAATGACTTTTTTTTTAGACTATTGCTGGTCTATTTTTTTTTTTTTCTAATAAACAATGTTTCGAACAAAACACATTCCTTTTTTTTCCTTGTGTCGCTGAATTCATTTAGAATATTTGTGGGATGTGGGAGTCAGGCGACTACACTGCATGACAATTATGATAAAAAAATAAAGCAGGAGTATCAGAAATGGGGGTAAATAATAAATTCTTCTACAAAGAAGTGTCTCTGATATGTCTTGGTTATACTTTTCTCTTTTCTTATATATATACAAATGGTACCAAAAAGTGGTCTATGCTTATACCATGTTTAATTATTTTAGTACATGTGAAATGTGTCTCTGTTCTGCTTTTTTTTATTCAGTATATAATTACATATGAAATTGTTTACAATTGATTCTGCTCCTGTCATGATCATTGTGCTTCTGTTTTTTTTTTTAGCTCATTCTGCTTCTATTTTTTTTTGTTGATTCTGTTGCTGCTTCGATTTTGCTGTCCTGTGTTGCTTTTGTTTTTTTTAATTGTCATTCTGCTTTTTTTTTTTTTTGTTGCTAATTCTGCTGTTGTCCTGATTCTGCTTCTTTTGTTGTCCTACCCTGTCAATATGAAAATGTATACAATTGTTAGTATTTGTTTGAATTTAAATGTTTAAGTTATGACTATTATTAAGATTTGAGATATTATTAGTGTTTTTTTTAATTTAAATGTTTATGGTTTTACTTGCATTTAAATATTTAGTATATATAAAATTAGAACTTAGATTGTTTAGAAGTTAATAAACTAAAATATATATTTTTTTTAACTGTTTGCTTTGCTTCGGTAAAGCGTGTCGCTTCGCTTCTCGCTTCTCGCCTAGGCGTTAGGAGCCTTGGTCGCTTCGGTTCGCTTTACGCCTTAAATAACACTGGTCTGCCTATTTGTTGTTCTTACATGTTCCATACTGTTAGGAAAAGAAAAATAAAGAAAGAAAGAAAAAACAGAACCAATAACAAATTCCCAGTTTGATGCATGAATTCTGAAGGAATTAAGAATATTGATCAGTGCGAGGGCACTGATACTAGCACATCTTCTTTTTTTTTTTTGATAATCAACTAAACATATTCTATCACACTGTTGTAGGTTGGTACAATATCTGCAAATGGAGAAAGGGAAATTGGTGAGCTGATTGCGAAGGCTATGGAGAAAGTTGGCAAAGAGGGAGTCATCACAATTCAAGTAAGTTATCGTACCATTGAAGTTTCTGTATGTTTCTGTGCTTGATCGGGTGGACTTGTTAGTGTGGTTTTCAAAGCCAGCTTTTGACCTGGTAAATGCTTTTTTCTGGGTTTATGAGATCAGAACATATGAATGGACTTTCAGGGACTATGCTTGTATTGCTACTTATCACTACACTTTGGCAACTTAAGAAATTACTAGACATCACTTTAAACAACAGCGAAGAACTTTATGGTTCTTGAATTTACATCGAAGAAATATAATGTTACAATGCCATAGATTTCAAGATTAGGCAAGTTAATTGTGAATGTGTGGCTTGCAAAATGCAGACCTTAGAAGCTCGAACCAGAACATGGTAGTTTCCTGAATGCGTCTATGATCTTTATCTAGTTTGAATGTGGAAATGGCTGATGTTTTGTGTTTGTTTTGTTGACTGTGGAAGCAGAGGAGGAAAATCAGACAACAAAGAGATTGAATCCTTACCACATGAAACATAATCAGTAATGGATGCAATTTTCTTATATTTGAGTAGTTGTCACTTCATAAAAATAATTTGAATGCTCTGACATCAAGGAATTTCAGTCAAATTATGAATATTATTTACAAGAGGCTGTAACATAAACTATTACTCCCTACAAGTCTTGGTAAGAATTTCGTAACATTTGCATTCAGCCTTAGTGTTCCATCGTGTGGTTCGTTTATACCTTTCTTCTTCATTAGTCTGTAACATGCTTTAAGCTCCTTCGTTGTCATCTTCCTCCTTTTCTACTGCTAGCCAGTAGTTGGTACGTTGTTAGGCATTGGCTAAACACGTATGGGACTGATTTCATGTTATAATGTTGCAGGATGGAAAGACTTTGTATAATGAATTGGAAGTTGTTGAAGGAATGAAGCTGGACCGGGGCTACATATCCCCATATTTTATCACCAACCAGAAGACCCAGAAATGCGTAAACTCTTTTGCTTGTTTTGATTCAACAGCCCAGCGCATCTTTAGATTGCTGCTGCTAGTATGTTCTCCAGCTTCTTAATGCTCACTGGACTAACAGTGTCCCTGACTACTGACAGGAATTGGATGACCCTCTGATTCTGATCTATGAGAAGAAAATCTCGATTATAAATGCTGTTGTGAAATTATTAGAGTTGGCCTTGAAGGTAACCTGTTTCTCAGCATGTATTATTTTATTCTGATTGAGTTTTACGTAAGCATTGTCCTTAGAGTTTACCATTCTGTAATTTAGTTACTACAATTTTGTCATACATGTTCAGAGACAAAGGCCCCTGCTGATTGTTGCGGAAGATGTGGAAAGTGATGCCCTTGCAACTCTTATTCTCAATAAGCTTCGTGCTGGAATCAAGGTTTTGTGCTACTTTGTCAAATATTGTAGTGCTTTGTTTGCTATAATTGTTTCTCTCTCGATATATATATATATATATATATATATATTTCATCATGTTGATTTTATGCGTTGGCAGGTTTGTGCCATAAAAGCTCCTGGCTTTGGAGAAAATAGGAAGGCCTGTCTGCAGGATCTTGCCATTCTTACGGGAGGCGAAGTGGGTCCACTGTTGTGTAGTCTTTATATATAATTAATTTTATTGTATGACACTTCAAATATGAATTTACTTTTTCTATATGGCAGCTTATAACTGAGGAACTTGGTATGGACCTGGATAATGTGGATTTGGATATGCTTGGCTCCTGTAAAAAGGTGCACTGTAAAGGAATGCATTAAGCTATTTGGCTATTTTTCATGGCTTGGGTGTATTTTTTGTGATAATATCAATAGTTTGTAAGATAAATAGATTTTTGTTCAGAGCCTCCAGTTTCACCTGTGATCAGTGATCAGATAGTATTGTTTAACTGAAGTTAATGTTCTAGGCCACAGTATCCAAGGATGACACAATTATTCTTGATGGTGCCGGTGATAAGAAGGCCATAGAGGAAAGATGTGAACAGGTCTGTTTTTCTTTCTTGTACATGTACACCCTTCTTCGCATTTTGCTAGATATTCGAAGTGTTCTTGATAAGTGTTTTTATATCCTGACTTAAATTATATGGCCTGCGATCTATATTAACAGATAAGGGCAACAATCGAATCAAGTACGTCTGACTATGACAAGGAGAAGTTGCAAGAAAGATTGGCCAAGCTTTCTGGTGGTGTTGCTGTGTTGAAGGTATGCTCTGTCTCCCTTATGCAATTTTGTCGTAGAAGTTTTAGTTAAAGAAAAATGTAAGAACTATTGTCAGTTTGCTACTTAAGTCTAGCTTAGTTTCCAATCTGATGGTCAACATGTGCAGCTCGATAAGCTGCTCTCATTGCATGTCAAATAATTGGAACTGCATTCTCCTTGCAGATTGGAGGAGCTAGTGAAATTGAAGTTAGTGAAAAGAAAGACAGAGTTACGGATGCACTAAATGCCACAAAGGCAGCTGTAGAGGAAGGAATCGTACCAGGTAATTTTATTCAAGTATTTTCATACATAATCTTGTCAATGAGCAGATACTCAATGAGTTCTTTAAATTCAGGCGGTGGTGTTGCTCTTCTATATGCATCAAAAGAATTGGAAAAACTGCCAACAGCCAACTTTGATCAGAAGATTGGTGTCCAGATTATTCAGAATGCCCTAAAGGTTTGAATTTATCATTCTAGAGTCAGCATGTTAGGATGTTTAAAATTGTGGAGTCATAGATGATCCATATTAGGATCTCTTTTGTTGGTGCCAATCGTACTAATATGGCGTGTCTTGTCAAAATCCCAACCGGCAATGAAGTCTTAGTGCCCGAATGTTAGTATTGCACTATTGTTCAAAGTCTGTGACCAAGCACTTCTCTTGCCACATGCTATGATTTGTCTCAATGGGAAAAATCTTGGTGTGATTGTATTTTTAATTTGTTTTGTTATGGTGTTTGTACGTTCCTTTATAAAACTAACTCCAATATGAAATTTTTACTGCAGACACCTGTGTATACAATTGCCTCTAATGCCGGGGTAGAGGGGGCTGTTGTTGTTGGCAAGCTGTTAGAGCAGGATAACTCTGATCTTGGTTATGACGCAGCCAAAGGTTGTTACTGCATCCATGTTATTTCTTTCACTAAATAGAGGAGGAAGCCATTGTTTTCAGTTTGTACTGAACAAGCCAATTCCTATGTTTCTTTTGTTCAACCAGGTGAATATGTAGATATGGTTAAAGCCGGAATTATTGACCCAGTAAAAGTAATAAGAACAGCCTTGGTTGATGCGGCGAGGTGAGATTGAAAAACCATTTGAAGGTTTCTGATTTATAATTTGGTTGCATATATAATATAATCTGATCTGCATTATTATTGTGCTGTACCATGCAGTGTGGCATCCCTAATGACGATAACTGAGGCTGTTGTAGCTGAGATTCCCAAGGATGAGAAGGAAGCTCCAGCAATGGGCGGCGCCGGCATGGGTGGCATGGATTATTGATGGTGCTGATACAAGCACTTGAACTTAGGGTTTTACCCATTTGCTGATTTATTTGTGAGATCAAAGACGTCCATGTATAGTGAGAGATAAGTATGTTGAAGTTTTGATAATGTAGAATAAAAGAGTCAGATTGCGGCTAGAAAGTTCTTTCACTCATTTCTTCAAGTAGCAATGTATCATCTTTCCTGCATAATTAGAAATTCAGTGAATTCTCTTCTTGCATGGTTGCTAACTAAGTCACTGGGGATTGCTCAATTATGGGATCCAATTCCAAGGTATTGGAAGAAAGCTACGAGATGATCTCTACAAGATGTTTTCCTTAATACCCACAAAACTGCCATAATCACACATTGTTTATATTCATGATTACAGCATGAATTTTGGACCTCGATCACTCGCAAATCAAGCATTTAGGAGTTTATTGTGAGAGTTATACTTAGAATCTCAAAATAGTAGAATGCTTAACAAACAATTGAACTTTGTCACACAAGTAGCTCGAGTAAGTAGAGGATAATTTTTTTATATACGGGATGACTGTAATCAATTGCTTGGAATTAAAGACCATGAGTGACAGCCAGACTAATTTGTATGGGAATTCTTACATGTTGGTTCTCATAATGAGAATCAAATTTTGCTTTAGTAGCTGAAATGCCAGTGTCTTTGCATTAGAAAGTAAAATCTGATCAATTGGAGGCCATCTTAATGTAAGCATTGTATGACCATCAGTTCTGGTAATTGAGTGGGTAATGTGAGAAAATCAATAGTAGATAAGATCAACTGAGATTGGAACTACATTTCAAAGCTTTCCCTTGTCGTCTTTGTGAATTTTCTGGCAATCAAATCTTGTATGGTGAGATCACTTCAAGTTCCGTCCACGAATTTGGACAAAATTATTCCTACGATCATGTGTAAAGAGGAAAAAAAAGTTAGAGTGATTTAACACACCGCTTTGCAGTGTCTTGTGGTGTGTACACTTAATAAAAAATTGTCATGTTAGACACACAAGTTGATTTTTTTTCATAAAAATTCTGACGAAATGATAAATGACAGCTTTGCTTAGGAATGTATAATTTATGATTGACTATGTACGCTATCTAACTCTCTAGCAAGTGGTGTCTTAAACCCACAAAAAAACATTCTTGTAAAGAAGGGTAAATGGAATCTTGTGGAAGGAGGTGAGAGAGGCCCCCACTCTTCTTTAGGCTACTCTGTACAGTTCCCTACATTCCTGCTAACTCCCACCAAACCCATTCTCTGTACCTTCCAAGTTACACCCCACACAAGTTCAGTAACCCACTCTAAAGGACACTCAAGTCGCCGAGGTTCACCGACTCGCTCTAATGTTCTGGTTGGTATGATAAAAAAGTAACAGAATGAAAAATTAAAAGGAGAAAAAGTTGGAAGGATAAATAAAACATCATAATTAATAAGAAAAGAAAGTAGGAAGGATGAAAAAGTTGATGGATTAACTTTCTTTCTAACTCACTAAAATCGATCCCTTCAAAGTCGAAAGGAAAATAGATGAAAAATTAATTATTTGTGTTGAAATATATTTTATTTATCTATATATCTTATGTATACATTAATTTTCTATAAAAATACAATGATAAAATATGTATATATATTTTTAAAAAAATTAAAAATTAATTTTAAAAAAATAAAATATAAAAAATTTTTAAATTAAAAAAAAATATTTTTTCCATTTTAATTAAGGGTGAAAATTTTCGACTCAACACGATGACACGATTCGAGCTCGATACGAAAATAAACAAGTCAATTCGCAACTCGACACGACATAATTAGTTAAATGAATTAAGTTAAGTTTGATTAATATTCGACACAAACTCGTAATGACTCAACACGATTTCACTCGATTATCACCCCTAATTTTAGACAGCACAAAAAAAAACAAATATAATCATTTTTATTTTATATCCATCCAATCAAACACAAAAGAAGGAAAGTGTATCCGTCCTATTTTCCATCATTGAAGGATAAAAAATATACCCCTCTTACTTTTCATCCTCCCTACCAAACGGAGCATAAAAGACACAGTCAAGCTCCCAAGGTTCACTGACTCACTCTAAAGAACACACCTAAACCCAATCATAGAACACCTAACAACATGCCATTACAAAAACCAGTTCAACCCCAATAACAAAGTAGTGTGAAAACAAAACAAAAAACAGCAGAAAGAGGTGATTATGTGACAATCATACTCAAGTTATTTAATAGAAAAAGATTCAAATGGGATCAGATTAGCGCCGTGGGAATGCACATTACTGCACTTAAGCAGCCAGGGTCAAACCTCAAATACACTCGATCACTTACTAATTACGTGCATCAGTTAAACTCGAGTTTTATGTGGCCAACGAACTCGGACTTAAAATCTTCTCACTTTTTGTTTGACAATTAAACTAAATCACTTATGCTCTGTTTGGTAGGAAGGATGGAAAGTAGGAAGAATGTATTTTCTATCCTTCAAGGATAGAAAATAGAAATGATACACTTTCTTTCCTTTGTGTTTGGTTGGATAGATGAAAAATAAAAATGACTAATTTTTTGTTAAATTTTTTTTGTGATGATTAAGATTAGGGTTGACAATTAAGTCGTGTCGTGTTAAATTCGTGTTGAATCATAAAATTATAAGTCTTTTATATTTCTTGTTCGCGTGTCAGGTCATTTTCAAGCTCGTGTCGAGTTATAATCAACTTCGTATCATAAAATTTGTGTTGAGTTCGAGTCGTATCATTGTGTTGAGTCAAAAATTTTCACCCCTAGTTAAAAATAAAAAAATAAAAAAATTAATTTTAATTTTTTTAATTATTTATTTATATATATACACACACACATATTATATTTTTATATGAAATTAATGTATACATAATATATATAGACAAATAAGATACATCTCAATACAAATAATTAACTTTCCTTCCCATTTTAGAGGGATTGATTTTAGTGAGTTGAAAAAAAAATTAATCCATAAACTTTTTCATCCTTTATACTTTCCTTCCTTTTCAAATATGATGTTTTATCTATCACTCTAACTTTTCATCCTTCTATTTTTCTATCGTACCAAACAGAGCATTAGGGTTTGTCTCTCTTAACTTAATTTTTCATCAAGTGATACACATCATAATTTCAAGGAGTTTATACTCCAAACTTTTTTTTAACCAAGATCCTAAGCCATGCCTATATGGACAAATGACTAACTTGAAAATTCGTTGTTATGTACTCATGCTAAACGGTTGCTTATGGGTAAAAGCTTTTCCAAATAGTCTCGAGCACCACCCCCTCCCTCTCAACGGTCGGTAGAATTCCCAGAAACGCGTATTAAAGGGGCCCCACTCATTCTAGAAAGTAGAAACCAACAAGATCTGAGCATTTGTCAACTGTTGGGCCTTAACCTCCCTTGTCTTCCTCTGTTTGTCCTTCTCTGATTCAATCTTCATTAAGAATCAAAGTATCTTCATTAACCTCCAATATATTCTTTCAGATTTTCGCACTGTATAGCGTATGATAGATACTTTAGGAATGATTTTATGTTATAAATTTATATACCCACAAGAATAAAATACCAACCTAAAGTGATTGGGTTTATTTGCAGAATTATTAGGCTTTATTGACAAAATGAATATCACAAAAGGGTGATCCAAACTCCTGTGGCAGTACAAGGTACTGAGAGGGTCAGATATACGTATTATTCGCCTGTAAGGATAGAGGTTATTTTTGTGACTCGAACTTTTGTCGTTACCCACCTCTAACTATTTGACAAAACAAAGTTTCAAAAATAAATGGTATGAATGCACTATCAAAATTTAGAAAGAAGATAAGGGTTTTGTATAACATCACTGTGTTGGTGGGTGACAGTGTACTAATTATTGTGCATATGACAAACCAAGGTTTTATTTATTTTCAATTCTCATGGCTGTTTATTTGTATTTTTGTCCAAAATATATGCATTAGGAATGAATTCGGGCATGGAGCGATGTCAAGTGTTCATCTTTCCAAGTGATAAGTCATGGCTTCAAGTGCAAGAATTTGCCTCTCTAAAGTAGTATGACACTTTACTACTATTTATCTCTCTCAAACCCGGTTATAGATGGGAGACTTTGTACACTAGATAGAATGAGGATCAGACAAAAAGTCTACCTATTTTATTCAAGGAGCTAACTGAGCTCACTGATGTTGATGGAGCTAAGCTAAATGACATCATAGAGGAGGTCAATATGCAGTTTGAAAATCCAACGGCTGTAAGCCTTGTAGCTGTTTGATTAAATTACTGATAGTTGTATTATAGCCTTTCCAAGCCACTCTTTACAAGTGTTTATAGTCTTGCCCAAGGGCTTCCTTTTCTTGCTTCCAGCTGAGGAGTGTGAACTCTCAAAACTTACTCCAAAAAAAAAGGTTAGCTTTCTCTTCATTCGCTGCTCATTTTTTCCATCACCAGTGTCATCTTTTATCGTTTGCATTATTAGTTGGTATTAGTATTGTGATTGTTCTTGTTGTGATCAATTAAGTGTACCATAATCTTTCATGTTTTTATTCTTTTCATTATTGCGGTATTTGATTTTCTTATAAGTTCTGCAAATTTTTGATGTTTCAAGTTTTGAAAATGGTGATAATTCAATTTAAGTTGGGGCATAATGCAGAGGTTTAATTGTCAGTTCCACAAAGAAACACTGAATTGGTGTTCATCATTCAGTTTAGAACATTAAAGGGCCTTTTTTATTTGAGTTAGTTCTACAGATACAGTTCCTCCGTGAATGAAGGCAAATGTTGTAAATGTAGCTTTGTTGCTTGTACTTTTTTTTTTGTTATCAGGAGGACAAGAACATCAATAACTCTTAAACAACTTGTTGCTTGTATTTGAAGTGACTGTAAAATTTATGATTTGTTGTATGGATAGAAATCAATTGTGATTAGTGGATAGGTTTTATCCCAGTGAAACATTATTTAAGTAATCAAAGTGATCAAAATCTTTTTAGGTTTTAGACCTTGATCCAAAATTCCAAATTATCTTCACATGTGGATTCCTCGTTTGAAAAAAATAATTCCACCTTACTTGGTGGCTGATGTAAAAGATATGTTAGTTCTACTGGTTAACTTCATTTTCGAGCACTTACATGTGCAGTTCCTCCTATAATTCACTTTGTGTTCTAAAATACAAGTGTACAAATGTTTTCACTCTTGAAAATGCAGAATGGGGGAGTTTGCTGCAGCAGTGAAGTCTGTGGTCGTTGAAATTAAACCAAGTAATTCTGAGGTTGTTCCATGGGAAGACTTGCTTGAATCAATGGAGCAAAAGAGTGTCTTGTACTCGATGAAAAAAAAGAAGTCTCGACATGCCCGTTATTTTTACGGCATTATTTTCATGTTGACAAATCTTATTGCTTGGTTTGTTCGTGACTATGGAGAAAAAGTTATCTCTCAGCTCCAATGTAAGTCATGGCTCTTCCTTCTCCTGGTTAGAAAACTGGGTTTTTCTCTGGTAAATGAAAGAGTGGATGAAATTTCTAAGCATCAATTAATGGGAAATCATGATTCATGTTATTCAACTTTTAGTGCATGATTTCCATAAATTTCAACATCCTTGCAAGAACATGGTAAAAAATTGTCTATCCTCAGAACCATTTTGTAGCTGGATACCCATTTTTATTGAAACTTCAGATGATGTTATATTTTTCATTGTTACAAATTCTTTTGCAGATTTAAAATCCTGGGGAATCGATGAGCATGATTGTTTTCATACAATGGGAGTTCTTCGTGTGAGTTTAGGATGCTTTGTATCTTTCATTTAGCAAGCAGTAGGCATATTTCTTCTCCATTTTTGCTTTTAGTCAGCAGGGATGAAAATCAAGTGCTGGCATTTTGGTGTTTAAGGTTTGTAACTTGTGCATCACCAGATTTTGATTAATGCTGGAGATAACAACTAACTACCGCGGGAAATCTTTGATTGAAGCTAGTTCTTAATTTATTTTCTTTTCTTTTAATGTCTGGCTAGGGAACAACCAGAAACTAATCTCATGCATTTGTCACATTTAAGTGGACAGGACCAGTAGTTCAAGGTTGCCAAATGGTTGCCATGCCTTCCCCTGTGATCTGATCATCTTTTTTATCTGTCCTCTAGTGCTCTGAAATCGATTTTAACCGATCAGAATTTAAAATAAGAAATGTTTAGATGTAGTGATTGAGATTTGAATGTAAAATGGGGAGATCTCAATGGAATTTGCAGATGAATTTTTCTTTGCTATGTAGCATCCTTGATATGCAATTCAGATATTCTTCTTTATGATGTTCCTTACAACATGCAATACAAGCAAGTTGTATGAAGTTCGCAATACATGGCATTCTGGATGGTGGGCGTCAAAGTTAGCAATACTGATTCTCTCGCTTGTGGTTCCATTCTTTGTCCCTTCAGACCTTGTTCAATTATATGGTATGTCTAATGGGATGCCAAATTTTACAACCTTTATTTTTATTATCTGCCTCCTGCTAGAATGAACCACTTACCTTTACTTGATAATTAACAAAGAACCCGATCATTCACACATTCTCAACATGAAACTTCCCTTCGGGGTCAGTAACAGAATGTCTGTTGCAGCTGAATTTCCTTACGCTTATTTGATGTCAAAGTTATTGTATAATTACTAGCTTTTCCATTAAATGCCATAAAAAGCAATTCCATCTTCTTGCAGGTGAACTTGCTCGCGTTGGTGCAGGGTAAACTTCAAGTCCTTGACTAATAATTTCCAATATCCAACTAGCCTGATTCCTTTACCAAAAAATCTGTATAGACTTGACTTCCTAACTAGCTTAAAGTTTCATATACCACTAAGAAATAAGAGGATATTGCTGATTATATTTATCATCATTTTTCTATGCCTGTATGTAGTTGTGCAGATATTCAGTTTTGCTTTACATGATGCAGTGTTTTTCTTCTTCTCCAACTCGTAAGTGTCATTGAATTTATCACATGGTGGAATAACTACTGGATGCCCGATGAGAGAAAGAAGCAAAGGTATGAGCTTCTCAATATCTGCACTAGCAATATTTTTCACTCCTTGGTATCTGTTCTTTATTGTATGTGATAATTAAAAAGAAGAAAAATTCAAAAAACATCATGTGGAAGCCCAGACCATGCAAAAAACTTCAAAAACTCCGTTTTTGTTCGTGTACTAGCTCTTGAGCCATCTGTGATGTTTCCCTAGAACTTCCTCAACCAATAAATTAATGAGCTTTGTGTATTTGTATAGTTCATAAAGTTCTGTACAATTCACCATATAAAATGATTACTTTAGAATTTGAGATATCCACTTATTACACTCTGTATAAAAAATGCAATAGCAGCTAAAAGGTTAGAGAATCTTAGGAGTGATCCTTTTCTTGATGATATTCTATAATTCTTAAAGAGGGAGTCAAACATTTACTCTCGGATGTGCAGAAAGATGGTGTAAAATAAAATTACTAGCTGTTTCAGATATTCCTCCATTCTTTTTCTCCATTTTCATTTTATTTAGGCTGACCATATGTAAGATTAATGTGCCACATATTTGACAAAATAGAAGAAATAGTGTCAAATAATGTGCAAATGGATGCTATTCAAATGAAGGCAGACACATTATACGCAAAGATCACTTCAGGGCAGACTACCCTTGACAAGGTGGAATGTCGATGCTTTTTTCATGTCAAAAGAAATATTACCTTTTTAAAACGATCTGCTCGTAAAACGGCAATGTCAAACAGATCCCTCGTTTCTGCGGAGTTTTAAATGACTGAGAACAGGTGTTGATTTCCTCATTGTTGGGAAAGTAAAGTTCGTGATACAAAACTAATCCAACTTACAATAGATATGGACTTTCTAGAACAAAAGAAGTTGTTACATTTTTCATGTTACAATTTTTCTCCATCACTTCGAAAAAATTAAAGAATTGATTCATTGAATAAGATTCTTATATGGTTTTTCTATTATGATGTACCACAACTAGTGAAATAATATCTGTAGTTAAACAAAGCTAAATGCACCTCTGAATGTAAATGACAGGTGAAATCAATTAAGCAGTGGTTAGTGATTTTACATCTCACCATTCACCAGGGACAAATTCTGAATAATGAAAGTGACTTCCCTTTCATGGATCGTAGAGACAATCTTCGGTAATAGCCGTGTCCTTTGTGAAAACTGCAATGGAATCACTTCCAAGAATATATCTGGAGTAACATATTCTTTATTCTTTATGACCTATACTTCACTAAAGAAATCCTTTATTCTGTATCAGGTTACTTAACCATATCTGTGGTTAGCTATGTTAATGCACATATTAGGAAGCCCAACTGCCTTATGAAACATGGGGAACTTTTTATTGTGAACATTCTACAAGTATTTTCCAAGTTAAAAAAGCACCGATTTTTATTCTGAAAAAAGGTAGCTATGTCTTGCTAATATTTCAATTTTATTCTAACACAGCTGCTTCCTCGGGCTATTCATGTCAACTCTATTTTACATCACTTCTGTTTGTGGAATAGTGGTGATGTATGCGCTGTATGCCTCCAGACCGTCATGCAATCTTAACATATTCTTCATCACGTGGACTGCAATTTTGCTTGTAGTCATGATGGTTATATCCTTACATTCAAAGGTATGCTTTCCAAGAAAGTCAGTTCCATGTAATCTCTTGTGAATTACAAGTAATGAAGTTGAAGTTACCAAATCGCAGTTTCATTCACCAGTCAGATATTGTGAATTTTATTAGGACTCAACTTCCTTGAGCAACTTACCATTTTCGTAGTGATAGTGAATTTACATTTTGGTGTTTCCATATCTTGTTCTATTGACATTTTAGCTCAAGTCAGATTCCCTTTTAGTCATTTTCTGTTTGATGCTACACTTGAGTAGTATTTAAGAGTATGCACGCTTCTACCAAGTGTGCATATAATGCAGACTTTTTATTTTATACGTTATTAATGCATGCTTAAAGCAGGTGAATAGAGGACTCTTATCTTCCGGGATTATGGCTTCCTACATTGTTTTCCTCTGTTGGACTGCTATCAGAAGGTTAAAACTCTCATAAACATTAAACTTCTATATTTAAAAATGATGATGTACATGAGTCTTCTACCACAGCGAGATTTGGGGATATTGAACTTCCATATTTTAATAAATTAAAATATCTGCACGAAAATGTACATGTTTACCTATAAATCAATCACTGTAATAAGAATTTTTAATTGTTGCGGTCTGACAAATCCGAGTGAATGCACGTAAAATATTTGATGGAAAATCTTTTTGTAGGGTTGATATACTTCGATAATAATTTAAAGTTATGTTCTTGGAGTATAAATTTTACCCAAGAACACTTATCATACATTTTGACTCATTTTCAAAATTAGAGTATTTTGACAACAGAACATGTGTTGTGGCCGGCAAAAACGGGTTGGGTTAGATCGGGGAATGAGAAATGGAGTCTACTCTTAGATTCTTATATAATTCAAAGTAGGAATTTTTTCCCAACTATAGCTGAAACTATATTTCATTTTTGAAGGAAATAATTTAAAGTCCCCTACGTAGTTGATTCGTGACAATGGAACATTGGCTCGATGCTAGTCTCCAGCAAAAGATTTACAAAAACAATTAGCACGAATGTTCATTGTGCGATTTTCAACTGACATACTTTGCATGCTCATTCGAAATTTTCACTTTCATTATTCTATTCTATTATTCATTCCAAGAAGTCCAATGATGTGGAATGACAACTATATTTACCATCTTTCCGTTAGTGAGTAAGAATCAAAGAATGCAAATACTTGAATCAAAACACTCTCGAGTCTCAAAGGTAGAAAGAATTGTGGGATAAATTCTTAGAAGCCTATCTGCCCTTTTGCAACTATGTACATAAGTTTTAGCTATCTGTGAACCAATGTGCCTACCTTTAAAGATTGAGGAAAATGTCTGCCCTGCTGTTGCTTCTTGTGGGTTACTGAGTATGCCTTTTTGGGTTGCAGTGTCGCATATGAAGCCTTTACATTTTAAATCTATGGGAAAGAGGAATCCCATACACCGAATTTCACTGTTAGTTTTATCAGATACTTCCCCAGTTAAAAAATGATTTTTTACTGTTCATATTTGCTTCCCAGAATCTGATTAAAATTTGTTTCTCGGCTGTGTGATTCTTAGTTTTATTGTTCCAAAATGCTTTCTCGTAACACTAAAAAGTCCTTTGCAAGGCATAATTATTTGATTTCTGTTTTGCAACACTTTTTGTTCCAGCGAGCCTGCTACTGCGAAGTGCAGCCCCCAGAAACAGGAGAATGCAAATGGAGGTTGGACCACTGTAGTTGTAAGAGTTCACAGCTTTTCTATGTTTCTTTGTGTTTCTTCTAATTGAGTCATTCAAAAAGTGTTACGAAAAACATGTAGCTAAAGGACTATTATCAATTTACATGCTGTTTCATCAACTTAATGAGGCACGATTGAGTGTCACACATAAACCTTCCCATTCTCGCAACATCTTGGGTTAGAATTCATCCTCTCTTCCCCACAAATGTGTATATGATGTTATTCTTACCCCCATAAAATAAAGAAAAAGGTGTCCCAATATGCCAGGACTCAATTTGGTTGTCCCCCTTTTGTGTTGTGTACCAGTAATCGTCTATTTCACAATATGTTGCACTTCGATGCACCAAAATGTTCACAAAAAAAAAAAATGATAGATATGTACCTAAATTGAATAGGTTCTGTTTGATTCTTAGATGGTATCATCTTTAATTTCCTTATTGTTTTTCCTCTAATATTTCACTCATGCTGCTTCAGGGTTTCCTCATTGCTATATTTGCAATTGTCATGGCAACCTTTTCCACAGGGATTGATTCACAAACTTTTCAGGTGAATTGACCTTCTCTCCAGAAAATATTGATAAAATTAATATTTGAGCTTCTTCGGTGATCTTCTTAATTTGTAGTATTAAGGTGAAATGCTACTAGTAGCTTTAAATGCTAGTCCCCAGGCTTGAAAATGTAATCACAGAACCCTATATTAGAAATTTCTAAATAGATACACCTTAATGCACTACTGAGAAAAGATGCATGCTCATATAAACTCATGTATTTTGTGCATTTGCTCAGAAATAATGGAGTGTTTCATGTGATATTTGTGCAGTTCCGTAAAGATGATGTTCTACTGGAAGACGATATTCCATATAAATATGGCTTCTTCCACCTAATATTCTCCTTGGGGGCCATGTATTTTGCAATGCTATTCATCAGCTGGAACCTTGATAGCTCAACAAGGAAGTAAGAACATGATATTTTCATCAAACTGTCTCACCTATTTCAATGAAATTCACATCAAATATTGTTTTGCACTCACTGAAGTAGTTTGAGAACAACAGATGGAGCATTGATGTTGGCTGGGCTAGTACATGGGTGAAAATCGTTAACGAGTGGTTTGCAGCCACAATATATTGTAAGTCAATCACTTACTCTGTTCGTCTTTAAATTGCTTTTGTAAACACAAGTCCTCGTCAATTAGCTAAGACCTACACCTGCATTTCCATAGTCTAAGATTTCCCACTCAGTTTTAGGTTGGCCACATAAAGTCGGATACAAATCCATCTAGGATATTTTTTCCTTTCTTAACATTTCTAATACTTTACATGCCAACTACACTCAAAGCTTGCTAATGTAAAGATCGGTTCGGATGACCTAGTAGTGGATATATATCTACAGGGAATATTAAGAAGTTTTATTCGAATAAGTTTCCGTTAGTCGAAAGAATGCAATTTGATATTCCAGTTCCGGGAGTTTGAGATTTCTGCGCTGCTGAAAATTTTTCCAAGTAACATTTTGGGTCCTCAACTAACTACTGAAGCCACTACATCTTTTTATGCAGTATGGAAATTGATTTCCCCAGCTTTGACAGAGTCCAAAGTCAGGGATCATGAAGAACCAGCACAGCAGTTAGATAATTCAACTTCACCATGATTTCATATTGCACTGTCCATTGTAGCATAGCCTTTTGTCCCTCAGCTGACATGTATTTGAAGGTAGTCCAATATGTCCAATTCAAGCATCAAGTTTAAAAAATAAATAAATTTTCCTGGTATTTCAAGTATTTTTGCATTTGATTCTCGATGTACATGACATTTTTTTGTGACATAAATGTTCTGCAAATACATGCTAGCTAAATAAAGACGGACTCGTATTCAAGTTGTTACCTTTGTTGTTGAATCCAAATATTTTTCTTTGAATCCATGTAAAATCCATGCCTGAAATGGATAACTAACTGGTTTATAAAAATGTAACGTTGAGAAACTTGAATTGAATAATTCCACTTGGTATATATTTGAATTGACATTCCAAATGCACTCTTAGCTTCATTTAGGCTTTTTATAAAGTCTTATGCTCCGTTTGGTAGGGAGGATAGAAAGTAGAAAGGATAGAAAGTAAGAAAAATACACTTTCCTTCTTTTGCGTTTGATTGGATGGATGGAAAATAAAAAAGACAATTTTTTTTATTTTTTTTGTGCTGGTTAAGATTAGGGGCGACAATCGAGTCGAGTCGTGTCGTGTCAGATTCATGTTGAGTCATTACAGGTTTGTGTCAAATATTAGTCAAACTTAATATAACTCATTTAACTAATTGTGTCGTGTCGAGTTGCGAGTTGACATGTTTATTTTCGTATCGAGTTTGAGTTGTGTCATCATGTTGAGTCGAAAATTTTCACCCTTTGTTAAGATGAAAAAAATATTTTTTTTTAATTTAAATTTTTTATTATTTTTAAAATTTTTAATATATATATTTTACCATTGTATTTTTATATGAAATTAATGTATACAAAATATATGTATATATAAAAAGATACATAGGCAAATAAGATACATCTCAACACAATTAATTAACTTTTTATCCACTTTCCTTCCTATTTTGTAGGGATTGATTTTGGTGAGTTGGAAGAAAAGTTAATTTATCAACTTTTTCATCTTTCCTACTTTTCTTTCTTACCAAACATTATATTTTTTTTATCCTTCCAACTTTTCATCCTTCTAACGTTTCATCCTGTCACTTTTTCATCGTACCAAACGAAACATTATGACGTAATTTCTGATGCGCTATTTTGTTAAGTCTCTTCGGAAGCGAGATAAGATTGAATATATTTGACCTTACTCAGAGCCTACAGATGCAGGAGTCTCGTACACGAGGCTATTTTTTAGATGTTTTATTTAATTGTAACCCAATAGAACTCAAAGCGCCAACTGCTTTACATCCCCTGGAAGCTAAATATTTCAATGTTTTCATACTTAGGGTTTTGTTGTACCCACCACACCAAGGAGCTTACCATCTCCCACTAATATGCATTACATCAATATTAAGCTGTCTAAAGGAAAAACTTCAGAGAATGGGTGGCTGTGATGGTGCTATCAGTTGATCTTGTTGTACAGAACCCTAAAGCAGAATCCATTACAAATGCAAATCAGAACCCCCCCCCCCCCCCCTCTTGCGGCGGGGCCAACCCCAACCCTATACACACACAAAAAATGGCAGACCATGTGTACTTATAGCTAAATAAACAGGTAATAAAGAAGATTGATTAAAAATCTCACAACAGAAATCTCTCTAATAACTACTTCACAACCTTTTGAGTCTGACAACAACTCCATTTGATCTGATAATCAACACTATATAAAGAGCAAGTTTGGAGTCCATTTGCAAATTCATCCAACAAACATTCATTATTTGGCACCTAAAGACACACTAACCTCTCTCTCTCTCTTTCATACGCGCACACAAATTTCAAAAATGTTCAAGCAAACAACCCCATCCGCCATTTTTCTTGCAATGCTAATTGCAGTAGTGCAAGAAACAACAATTGCCACTGCAGTTGATCCAGCAACAGCAGGCGGTGGAGCACCGGTTCTTGAGTTATACATGCATGACATTCTTGGTGGCAGCAACCCTACCGCTAGGCCAATCACTGGCTTACTGGGGAACATCTACAGTGGTCAAGTACCCTTCGCTAGGCCGGTTGGCTTCCTCCCCCCAAAAGGAGGTGTAGCCATTCCAAACGCCAACGGTGCCCTCCCAACAGTCAATGCCAATGGCATTCCACTAGGAACTGGTTTAGCTGGTACAACTTTTGCTGGACTCCCTAATGGTGCAAACAATAATGGACAACCCTTTACCACCCAATTAGGCCCTGATGGATTAGGACTCGGGTTTGGAACGATCACAGTCATTGACGATATTCTAACCTCTGCACCAGAACTGGGATCACAATCACTAGGAAAAGCTCAAGGCGTCTACGTCGCGAGCTCTGCAGATGGAACTACACAGATGATGACATTCACGGCCATGATGGAAGGAGGGGAGTATGGGGATAATCTCAACTTCTTCGGCGTGTACAAGATTGGGAGTGCAATTTCTCGTCTCTCCATTACTGGAGGTACTGGAAAGTTTAAGAATGCTTGTGGATTTGCAGAGATGAGGTCACTTATACCAGCAGGGCAACATGTCACTGATGGTGCAGAGATATTGCTGAGGATTGCAGTTCACCTCTCCTACTAAGATAAGCTATGGTGTCCATAGTGAAAATGGGTGTGTTCAATTGTGTGAAAAAGGAATGTTGGGTTGATATGTCATTTCTTTGTGTCATTGTGGATGTTGAATGATGAATGTTTTTTCATGTTTTTTTTTATATTCAGTGCAAATCTTTTACCAAAATACTTGCTTGTGTTGGGGGCTGCGTGTATGGCAGATCATGTTGACCAAGATATGACCCGAAATTGGACGTAGTCTATTTGAGATGTTTTCTTGTCTCTCATTTTTTTTCTGAACAAATCGAAAAATCTAATGGATCGAACTTGAACTTCGGATGACTTGACAGCGAACTTATCAATCAAAAAAATTTCGTGTTTTGAGGATCAAGATTTCGTTTCGATTTATTAAATAGTTTGGAAAAAACACTTTAGAAATTTTCAGATCTTAGATGAAGATAATGAATAAATGAAAATTTATTTTCGAAATATAAGAAATTTTCAATTCAATATTAGTTTGGATTTTCATGTTTCATGAAAATGTTTCGAACGTCAATCATTTCGAAATAAAATTTAGTTCTTTAATTATGAGAAAATTCGTTGATGAGATATTGAAGATCTGGTATTTGTTGAGTCCATTTGGTGTATGAACTACGGACCTAGTCAACATTTTATACATGAGGGGCCAAATCTTATCACAAAAACTCACACAAAGAAAAATTCAAAATTTTCAATGTAACAAAATAATTTATTCAAAAGGAACAAAACTATAAAAGTAAAAATAAGGTAAACAAAAGAAATAGTTTTTAATATGTCATAATTTAATTACCTATTCAAATGGCGTTCGACTTTCTTTTATATCAAGAAATTCATCTATAATTGAATTCGTAATAATCAATTGCTAAATATACTGAATAAATTAACAAAATTTTTTCAAATTAAAAAGATAATCAATATTTAATTTTTTTTAAAAAAATAAGAATCAATAATAATACTAACCAATTAATTAATGGAGGATAAAACATCAACTGAATTTTTTTGGGTCTGATCAGTAATTTTTTTTCTTGTGTGAAAAGATTGAAGAATGAACTTTAGACTTATGGGGGTAACGACTGTTTCTATTTATTTAAAAGGCTAGGGTTTGTGGTGAGAGAAGAATGGATCCTTAAAAGAAATTAGAATGTGCTCTAATTTTATTGTTTTTTTTATTTATTAAGGACAATTTTTTTATGAAATAGGGGCAAATTTTAATGTGGTAATTAGGAAAAAAATAAAAAATATATTTTAATGCCTCTTTCTTGTCTACCTAGGGGTTATCTCAAATCTACGGGGCCATGGTTAACCCAGGCCATGTAAGAGTTCCGTCATTGATATCAACCCGTGGAGAGTGCAAGGGTCTCCATCGGATCTCCCCTTGCACAATTCATTCACTCAGAATGATTACTAGACAAGAAGGTTCAAAAAAATCCACACCTTTTTATTAGAAATAGAATAAGAATTAAGAAAACAGCTATGGTCTCTAAAGGCCTGTTTGGTAGGTGGGACAAAGAAAGATTTAGAAGATGGGTAGGGAATAAAAGTCTACAAAATCCAACAAACTCCATGTTTTACAACTATATTTTTAACTCAGGTTATCAAATCCAGCACGCTTTAAGCTCGCAATTTAAACTCATGTTTGTGGGTTTCTTGAAATTTGGTGGGGGTGGATTTTAGATGAGGGTTAATTGGTATTAACTATAGAAAGACAATTATACCCCCACACACGCCACCTCTCTCTCTTTTCTCTCTCTATCTGCTCATCTGCCCCTCGCGAAGTTCTCATCGCCATGGCTAAACCACCAGCAGCAACAACTTCCTCCCAGGTACACCATTTCTCTCTCTCTCTCTCTCTCTCTCTCTCTCTCTCACGCACACACACTCAAACCCAACAGCCTTCATAAGCAGCAACACACATAAAGAACACAAACACACACACACACAACAGCCCCACACACAGAAATTTTATGTTTATGTTTTTAATTTAGGTGTTTAATATACTTTGTTTAATTTGAGTTTTTATTTTGTGAATATTTTGGTTATGAAATTTGTTTTTTTTTTTTTTAATTATGAACACTCAATAATGTTTGTTTTTAACCATTCCACTGCTCAATGGTGTAGCAATCGATCCCTTCACTGCAATGCTAACAATAAGATTTGTCAACAATGACTTCCTGTCACCCAGACGAGAAAACAAAGAAGACATACCACAAATTTCATTAAAATCCCAAAAGTTTAGTGTATTTATATTTTGACCCCTTAAGTTGTAGAAACATCATTATTATCCCTTAATTTTCAAAATAATATTATAACACCAGAACTTTTTTAGAAAATCATCTTTTTCTTAGAACTTTGAGGCATCTTTGATACGTATATTAGAACGTGTGGGTTTAGATCTCTTAAGTTTAAAATACTTCAATCAAAAATATTTTAAATTTTATAACCAAAATTTGTGTTCTATTAAAAAAAAATTATCATTTACAATGTAGAAAAAATAATCAAATATGAAAATTATAAGGATACAAGGAAATATATACGTATACAAACATAGATTTGGGTTAGATTGAAGAAGGAGCAAAATAATCATTTATAGACAAATATATTATCATAATAGTGACATATTCGCAGACATACTAAATATGGGTATGAACAGAATTAAATGTTGAATCTTAATTTTATAAAGAGGGATTTAACTTTGAAAGGGTGTGAATAACCAATCCAAACCCTTTCCAAAAAACCATCCAAACAGCCTCCGAGGGTCATTAAGTTGATATCTTTCGGTTGGCCTGGGCCATAATTTTTGGATGGGCAAGGCCGGCCCGGCTACCCAGCCCGTGAACAAACTGAGCTGTTATCTGGCAGACCGGGTACAGACGGGCCGGTCCGTCACCTCCCCCAAAGTCCAAACCAACAACACACAAAACAAAAGCAGTGTACAGAGTGACAAAACCAAAGAGGCAAGAACAAAGAAACATCCACGCTCTCTCTCTCTTCTCTCTCCACACACTGCGAGAGAACAAAGCAAAGAGAAAGGAAGCACATCACACTACACAAGCAACCAAAACCATAATTTATCAAACAAAGGAATAATGCAAAGCCCGAAACCACCACCGGCACCACTATCCCCCTCCTCCACCACCACTACTACCACCACTTTCTACGGCCTGTTAGCCACATCCATTTTCTCTCTGCTTTTCATGCTCTCTCTCTCCATCTCCCACTCTCCCTCCCCTCCACCCCCATCTCCTGACCCCTCTCTTTTCCCCACCACCCACCCCCCCAACCACCGCCTCCTCATACTCAATCGCCACCAAAGCCACCCTAACGATCAATCACCTCCCATCCCACCCTCCATTGCCTACCTTATCTCCGGATCAATCAACGACTCGCGTCGGATCTTAAGGCTTCTCTTCGCCGTCTACCACCCCAAAAACCAATACCTCCTCCACCTTGACCTTAATGCTCCACAGAGTGAACGTGACTTTCTGGCTATAACTGTCCAATCTGTCCCCGTTTTCAAAGCTGCCCAGAACGTCAATGTTATTGGCAAGGCCGATTTCGCATACTCGGCAGGCTCTTCTTCAATTTCGGCTACTTTGCATGGTGCTTCGGTTCTTTTGAGGATTTCGGCCAATTGGGATTGGTTCATTAATCTCTCTGCTGCGGATTACCCACTTGTTACTCAAGATGGTATAATCGCGTTTGTGTGAATTTTTAAAAGTTTGTTGGCATGATGATTAAATATTTTGCTCTGAAGCCTGGTTGGATATTGATTATGTATTGATTTACTGATGTCGGGTTTTCCGAGTTTTCAAATTCTCTTTCGATTTGCTATATATCTGCCTAAAGATCTTAATATCAGTATATAGGATGCGTTTTCTTGTGTATAAATTCGTTGGCTTTGTATTGAGTGATTTGGTCCAGAGTGTGTTAATTTGCTGATGTGAAGTTTTTGGATTTTCAGATCTTCTTCACATTTTGTCATATTTGCCAAAGGATTTAAATTTTGTAAATCACACAAGCTACATTGGTTGGAGAGAGTATGTACGACTACTTTTCCTTTTTATATCCAGTTGTGTATATGTTGTTGAGACATGGATTTGGTATATGGATTTAGTAATGAGTTTGTCTGGTGTTGTAGAACTCGGAGGTTGAAACCGATAATTGTTGATCCTGGACTTTATCTTGCGGAGAAAAATGAGATGTTTTATGCAACTCAAAAAAGGGAGTTGCCTGATGCTTACAGGTTGTTCACAGGCAAGTGTTTCACTCCTTTCCTTACTTGGTCTTTAAACTCTCTGAGTGATAAATATATTGTGTTGCTCAAAAGGTAAGCGCTGAGTAGTAAATAGTCATATGCTAGTTGAAGTTAGAAAAGCCAAAATGCATTGTAAACCGGTCAGAGCAATTACAAGGCAAGTGGATGAGTATAACTGGAAATAATTCTTTTGCCAAAACTTAAGTACCTTATGTGTCTTTTTTAAGCATTTCCTTGAAAGCTGTTAATCATGATGTTCTGTTGCCAAGCAATAGAGCATAAGCTTTCTAAGTAGCATTGTGTTAGTTATACTTTGTGAGGCAAGCACTGTAATAATTTTTAAAACATGATGACAGGATCGCTTAGGATGCAATTTACATGATAATGGATGAAAAGGACGATTATCTTGATACGTTAAAGGGGAGAAAAAATAAGGCATGATTCTTGTTAAGTGTGTAGAATTATTCGCCAAATAGTTTTAGTGAAAGAGAAACGTGACTAATAGGGATTTTTGTCGTAGTCCTAATACTTTTTTTTTTTCTCTTTTTAGTTAGTTTTCCTAATCATTCTAAGGGAGAACGAAAATCAAAAGGGTTTGAAGTATCAACTATATTGTTCCGGGAAGTGTTGGAATAGAAAGGGGTGGTGCACGAACAAAAATTCTATTGAGGCTTGAGGGTTTTTGATAATGGTGTGATTTAGAATGATAATCAGGTAGAAGATTCCTATAACAAAAAAGTTGGTAGTCAGGTGCGGGACTAGAGAAGGAAAAAAGGAGGATAAGGCCTTGTTTGATTTGCATCTCAAAAAGTAGTTTCTGAAAACTATTTTTGGAAAGAGTTTTAAAAAATTATTTTGGTGTTTTTTGGGTCGCATAAGTTGTTTGGTTATATAATTCCAAAAATAGTTCTATGAAATAGAAAATAATAAAATTTGCTTGGACAATAACTCAGAAAATAATTAAAACAGAAATGTGATGTTGGTGGTGGGAGTGTGGTGGTGGTGGTGATGGTGTTTTTTAAATTCTAGAAAGATTATTTTCAAAAACACACAAAATAATCCTAACTTATTCTCTAAATCTACCCACTTTTTGTTCTCAATTTTCAAAAAATAATGGACCAAATAGCTTTTCTCCATAAATCTGTTTTCGAAAATAGGAAAATAGTTTATGAGATGCACACCAAATAAGGCCTAAATTTCTCTCAGATATGTGGTTGGAGTCGAGGGAGAAGTGTTTGGGCGAAATATGATGTCTTTGTAGTCTGCCAACTATTGTTTATTCTGCTTCTTCTCGATTGCATTAGGAGGAGTTATCTAGGTATAATTTGTTGATGGCCCTTGTTTTTTGGATTAAAAATCAATATGCATAAAAATTGGAAAGAGATCACATAGTTGGGTTGATCTTTGGAGAAAAGGCTTATAAAATATCTGGAGTTGCCCTTAGGGAGGAACCGTGCATGATATGGTTTTTGGGATTCAATGATTGAAAAAATTGGAAAGACATTAGATGGTTGGAAAAAAAAACTTTGATATCAAGTGAGGGAAAGTAGATTTCTGTACAATTGGGTTTGTCCAATTTATGATTTGCCTATTCTCCTTGAATGTAGCAGGTAGAAATGAAAGGTTGATGATATTTTTGTGGGAAGGGTACAGCCACATGAAAGAAAAGGACCATTTGGTGAAGTGCGATTTGGTTTCTGGGTTTAGGAAGCAATGGATCTTGCTTTCAGGTACGCTATTGCTAGGACTAATGTTCTTATGGGGAAATGATTGTGTCGATTTTCTATTTTTTTGGGGATGGGGATGGGAATGGGGAGGGGGCTCTTGAACCCTTGACCTTAAGAAGACAAAACCTTCACAAGATAAGGAGTATCATTAGACTAAAGGCTCATTGTGTTGATTTCCTATGGACTGAAACTCCTTGTAGCATGTTGATGTCAAAAGAGATAAATAATTGTGTCCATTTCCTAGGACTACTATTCTTATGGGGAAATGATTGTGTCGATTTCCTATGGACTGAAACTCCTTGTAGCATGTTGACGTCAAAAGAAAGAATAAGATTGATGATGATGGATAGAATTGGCGTATTGCTAATTGGGAATTTCCTAAGCTTATGGAAAGCTGTCTCTCAGGTTCTGTTTTGTTTTTCAGGTTATACTAAATTTGTTTTATCGAAATGGGGAAAATGCCAGATTCTAGGAGGATGAGTGGAGGAATGATAGTTCCTTTCCATTTTGTTTCCCCACTTGTAGTGGTTGTCCCGTTCTCATAATCCCAACTGCTTCAATGATATACAATTTCTTTTGGCCAATCAATTTGAATTTAACACCGTCACTAATCTTAATGATTTTCTCTCTTCTGGATGGGGTCATTTTTTATGTAGTCAGTTCCTGATCCGATGCTGTGGCCTCCTCTTTTGTGGAAAAATTTCTTTTGAATCTTCCTTTGAGGTCACCATTAATGAATCCAATACTCCACTATTTGCCCTTCAAACAGGATCTTGAACGCTTAAAGTGCCAGTTCTCTCTTGAACTTCGGCCCTTAAGAGACTTAATACTTACGATTTGTTTCAGAGAAGGCGGCTCGTCACACCCTTGCCACAATGGTGCATCATGTGGATTGTGGGCCACCTATTCCTATGTTGTCCGGTGGCCTTCGAGAACGTCATTTTGTTTGGTGGATTTGTGTTCTGTCTCACCATTATCTTGCGAAGCAACATTTTTTCCACCAAAAATTTGGTTTTTTCCTGTTTTCCATCTGTCTCTCACTAACCATATGAACCCTAACCTTGTCACATCCGGCATTGTAACCAAATAGGACTCAAATTCACCAAAGTAGAAAGTTTTAAGCTTCTAATGACTGGTTTGCAAGCCAAAAAATGGCTCCTACTTGAACTTCAAGTATGAGCCCTAGAATTTAGTAAGCTAACCGAAGATAGCAAGTTTAGAATTTAGTTTAGTCTGAAATAAAAATCCAACCACTACTACTTCTTTGTGAAATCCTAGAATGAGATAAATACTCTTGGACACAAATAGAAAATAATAAAAACCACAATTAGAACAAACCTGGACACCAAACATGTTGTGGCAAAGTGGGGAAAAGGTGGAATATGTTGCACTTTGGGTGACGATAGGGATCTAGAGTATGAGGCTTTTCTTCCAAGGACTCTTTTTACTCAGCTATTATGTGTAGCACCAATACCATAGTTTTTTATGAGGAATGCGACTGCTGAAGTCCAAAAAACAGTTGCAGAAGAACACTGAGTTGTAGTGTTTTGACAATGATGTGCCTAAATTATATTTGGATACTACACTTTCAGTTGACCTGATGAATATTTATATCAAGCATAGAAACTTTTAAATCTGATTTTTTGCCAAGCGATTTTATGATTAGCAAAAATGACTTTGATTGCAATGAGTTGTGGGGCTCAAAATCAAGCCCTAAAAAGAGTACCCAGAAGGAGAAAAGGAAAAAACCCTTAACTCTAGATTTGTTTCTCCCAGAGGAGGAAAATTTAATTAAAATTTTTATCTAACTTGGTCCCCAATCAGATTTATTGGGCCTAATGTATGTACCTCCATCTTCGAAGTAACCCTAATTTAGTAATTACTTGGACTGTAGATGATAGTTGTTACCCGAGATAAGAAATAGAAACCGTTAATGGCACCAGATTAAACTTCACTATCTAAGCAATGAGAAAAGTAATCTGCCTCTTCTTTTATTTTTCATAAATAATCAACCACCATGCAAATAGACTAATTCTCTAACTTGTTAAATACATCAAGATGGGGTGATTATAGTTAAGCATGATTGTTCTGTATCACATATCTTGCAAGATATTTTGTCCATGCTATTGCCTGCCCCTGATGTAGGCGTTATCCTGAACAGGAACACACCCTCCCACTGGGCGAACAATATTCTCTTCACACACGAAATTGCTTGAATTTTACTTGCACTAGACATTAGGATTTTGACGGGATACTGTCAGTGTCATTATGTTATACAGGCTTATGGCATTCAACTTAACAAAACATTATCCCAACTATTTATGGTTGGGTACATGAATGATATCCCATGGGATTAGAGAAGTAAAATTCTCCCACTTCTGCAGTTGACTTGATGGTTTTCAGATTGATGGTGCCTGTTGTTGCTGTTTCCATATGAAGGCCTCAAGTCCGATTGTTCATTTGTGAATGGGTCTTATAATGAATGCCTTCATGGCCACTAGTGAACCATTCAGAATTCCTGTCATTTCGTAAACCGTTGCTTTTCCTCCCTTTTGATTGGGTATGGCTTGCATGCAAGCCTATCGAAACCATTCACATTAACAGGCTGCAACATCGTATTTAAACATAACACTATTAAACAAAAAGATAGATTGATGAAACTAACATTACTTTATTTCTTGGGTTCAGGTTCATCATCTGCTATTTTGAGTCGCAAGTTTATTGATCACTGCATCTTAGGTACAGAAAACCTACCAAGGAGTCTACTGATGTACTTATCAAACACGCCTTCATCCCAAAACGTATACTTCCCTACTATTCTGTGTAATTCTCGGCAGTTCCATAGAACAATCATAAACCACAGCTTGCACTATGCTTCCTTTGATACCAGACAGACGCCTCACCCACTAAATTCCAGTTACTTCAATGACCTTGTCTGGAGTGGAGCGGTGTTTGCTTTGCCATTTCTTCCTGATGATCCGATTCTTGATCGCATTGACCAAGAAATTCTGCGCCGCAGTCCTGGCAAACCAGTGCCTGGTGGCTGGTGTTTAGGTGAGTCTGAAAATGACACATGTACTGTTTGGGGAGATGCTGATGTCTTGAGACCTGGTGCTGGAGTAAGTAGGCTTGAGAAACGCATTATTGAACTACTCTCAAATGGAACATTCCAGTCTCATAAATGTGCAGTTGAATGACCTCCCCCTCCTCGACAAACATATTGAAAAGCACAAACAAGATGAAGAAACATGAAAGAAGAGAAGAAAAGAATGATCTGATTCCACTTGCTGTTTAACCATTACATTTTAAAACATGGTTGCATAATGAATGCAAAAGAGACAAGAATGGAGAACTAAGAGAGATATTGAATGATGATATCTGGCTGGAGTTGCTCTTCCACGATTTACCTTTTGAAAATTTTGTTGCATATTGACTTCATTGAGCTGATTCTTTTGTAGTTTGTGTAATTGTTGTATTTGTGGCTTATCAAAGATGAGATTAAATATCCCAAAATGCAAGGTTTCCAGTTGAGTTAGCGGAAGTTCTTCACTCCCTGGTCCCCCTTTTTTTCTCTGGTTTTGCACACACCTGCACCAGATAAATGACACCATGCATTGCAGTTGCTGCACCCATCATCAGTTTCATTGAGAGGAAGTGTGAGTTTGATCTTTTCAAGTATTTCTACTTGAGTATATGATTGTATAAATGAGAAGGAATGTAAAGATTTTTCTCACATGCATTGTTCATGGATCATTCTTCTTGCAGTTTTTATTGGCCTTGGATATGAGTTTATTAATTGGTTCAACTCTCCTTTCTTATCACCTCTTATTTTTTTTAATGCTTTTATTTTTCAATTCTCTTCATCTTTATTCCTTGAAGTTATTATTATGATTACCCATTTCCTTTTTTTTTTTTTTTTTTTTTATAGGATTTTGAACCGGTGAACTATTAGGTCAACACTTTTCTGGTTTTTTTTTTCTTTTTTTTTCTGTTGTTTTTCTTTTATTCATTCTCTCCCCTTATGGTCACATATTGTGAATTGAGAATACTTCTACCCCTCAAATTCTGTCACCATTGACACTTGGTGGCTGTGACACAATGCTGTTTGTCACATTGAGAATTTCTCAGATAAATGATAACCTGTATGCTCATCCAACCTACGTATCCCTACCAAATGAGCCCAAGCTTTCAGTTTTTTTCTCCATTTGTGTGTGTATGTAGTTCTTCTTTGCTCTATTCCCAAAACCCATCTAGTGGGAAATTAGTTGCGGGTCCAACAAGATGTTTATGTTTTCTCGGGCTGAGAATTGAAATTTATAGCACTTAAACGGATCCAGAAATTTAGCTATGGCTATTAAATTTTGAAAAAGAATGAAAGGTGAGAGGTATATAGTTTGAGGGTATTCAAAGCTACTAATACCATAACAAAAGGGATTTTCTCCTGACTCGTAGAATTCCAAAAATTTCCCTCCCTCCTCAGAAACCCCCACGAAAAAAAAGCTTCAGGGAGCAATCACCTCCAAACCAACTCCTCTCCTCCCACCCATCATTGCACCCAATGATTTAAAATGCATCTCAACAAAGATGTGTAAGTTGACGAGGGAAAAGAACTGTCACTATGCAATGAACTCTAAGAACACTTGATTTTAACACATCAAATATATAAACAACTACCAATACATATCATGGTAGAAACATGCATATCATGGTAGAAACATGCAAGTGAGAAGAAATCAACTTAGGCACACAGTGAACTTCAATGAGAGTGAGGTTAATCTGAGTTATCCCCAGAATTACTAGTCAAGAAGCAAATAAAACAAGGAGGAAGTTCTCTACATTCTGGAATTTATGAGTTTTCCTGAGTTGCATTTGAAAAGATTCAAGAAATTTCGAATGCTCGGGATGGGGTCAGCTTTGGAGTACATGAATGTTCTCTGCCACACATTCATCTTTCACCATGAACTGGTGTTTTCTCATGAGATTCTCTCTCAACTAGCTCTATTACTACAACAACTAGGATGGACCCAACTTTTACACCAGTAAAAAAATGAATACGCCTGTGTATAAATATCTAGTATGATCTCTCAGGCCTTTGTTCTCTACATATTTTTGCTTGTATTTGTCTTAGGTCCAGGCTCAGCAACATTTGCATTGTCATCGTTCAGGTATCTCAGGCCTTTGTTCTCTACATCTTTACTCCTTCACTCCTAAAACTTCGCTAAAAAACTCCAACAAATGTGGCAACAGCAAAAACTAGAAACAAGACTCCACCCAGATAGCCGACCTGATCCAAGATCAAGAGTGAGAAGCGTGTAAATCGAAATGATATCTTCCGAGTAAGAAGGAAATTTGGTTCATACCAGTTTTTCAGAAATGTAGTTGGCAAGGAATGCTCCCCCTAATATGGCAATTGTTGTTGCAAAAAGGTGTCCAGTAATGGCTCCACCAGCCACACCCCATGGAGACTGCGGTACAGTTTTTTTAAAAAATGATGTAATTACCATTATTACTGAAACTTTGAGAAACATCAAACTATGACCTGTGTCAATGCAGAAATTTGTGGAGACCGTACCTGTGCAGCACCTAGAGCAATAGTTGCAAGCATTGATCGGTCTCCCCATTCCTACGAGTAAAAACAGAAGTGTAAGAATTATGTCTGCTTCAACCCATGACATTATGAAACGATTCATATGACCTAACAAAGTTGCTGATTTTTTAAATAAGAACAGAATGCAATAGTAATTTTGCAGTTCATGCCCGCAAATGAAAAAAGAAAAAAAGAAAAAAAAATTGAAGTGTGGGCCCTATCACAGGAAAAATGGATTGCCGCCTTCTCAGCAAGAAAACTGAGATAAATGTAACACCACACAATCTTTGCATTTAGAGTCCAATGATGCAGCTTCCGGAGGAACATGGAGCTACAAGCAAGCAATGCAATGTTTTTGGCTCTGAACTTGGCACTATAGCAAAAGCTTTAGTCACTCCATCTCCATCTCCATCTTACAGAAGTAATAAAATTACCCCTAGAACCAATTTGGATTTGAGAGGTTTGCCTAATGTTTGTTGCCTTGCTTCTCTAGAGTCTATCTGCTGTACCAGGGCAGCACGAAACATCTGTCTCTCATACACATGCACATGCACGCATGCACATATACCGATGAAATTATATTTTTGTGACCAAATATGAAAATATTATTTCATTGTTCTATATAGCCACTTCATAAAGATCAGATTTGCTCCAGTAAGAGAAAAATTTGCCTGGTTTTCAAGTTGTTTGAAGAAAATCAACCTTCTATCTACTGAGCACAAAGCAATGTTGCTGCTGACAAGGACAAGATGCTTACAGCGAAAAATATGAGGCTGAATGACTTCCACACAATCTCAAGTGGACTTGAGAGCCGTTGTGAAACCTGAGGTAATCAGATAAGGAAACGGCAATAAGAAAAACACGCAGCAAATAGCGCGATCTACAGAGGGCTAGACAGGAAATCTGCTGAAGACATTTGATAAAAATATTAGTAATAATAATGGATGCACTGGCATTGAGTTATCTACCAAGTATGAGTGAACTACCAGAGTTTGTGAAATGATTAATAGTAAGCCCCATAAAAGGAAGGCTACTAAATAATAAATCACCTTTTCCACTCATACCAGAGTTGGTGAAATGATTAATAGTAAGCCCCAAAAGAGGAAGGCTACTAAATAATAAATCACCTTTTCCTTCACAAGCTCCTCTGCTTCAACAAATTCGTCAAGTTCAGCACTGCTCTTCTCACCACTTTTAGTGACATTTGATGGAAGGTCCCATGCATCTTTAATTGATTTGAGACCAAAGAACATCAAAAGAGTAACTGCTGCATATTCTCCAATTGGCAAGGCTGTTTGGATAACCACAGAATCACTGAACTGTGAGGAAGTTCTTACACCACATAAAGTTTGACATGTCAGCTCTATTGTATAATAAAAAACAAATGACAACGTTAAGCATTTCAGTATAGAACATTTACTTTCAGCTGTTGATTATCAATATCACTCTAACCCATATATTATAAACCATTCAACAATCAAGGAAGGTATCTATTTGATGGGAAATGTGGCGTGATTATTCCAGTTACATGACACCTTGGGGGCAAGACTTCAGATTTATGACGTGCTACTAGATTCAAAATATATGACGTGTTTTAAGAGATGTTCAGAACCATATGGGCTACAAAGTTGATGTGAAGTTTAAGACCTTCGCTGTTCTGAATCTATAACCCAGATAATCCTAAATTTCATGAGGTAAACAGTGTCTTTCAGCAGATTGTCTTTCCACAATATTATTCGACACAGAACCTATTGTTCACTGAGCAAATAGTTAACTAGGATGGTCAACTAGAAAATTGCACATGACCAGATTATCTCTCTTCGATTACTCATCCTCAATTTGAATTATTGCACTGGCAACATCAACATTTCCAACAATTTCATCTGCAACAAGATCTGGATTTAGCATTCTTCAAAGATACAATCAGTTAAAAATAGTAGTCACCATGCAAATTGAGGATGAGTAATCGAAGAGAGATAATCTGGTCATGTGCAACAAGGATTTGACTACACCACTAAGAAGCATTATGAGTTCTAGGGATGAAGTCCAAAATGAGAGTTGGTTGTTGAGGCCGAAGGAGGAGAGTTGAAGCTAAAACTAACAACAGACAAAGAACAACACAGGGCAGCCAATGGGCGGCAAAACCATGAAAAAGATACAGTGCAACCATAAGCTTTGTTGCTCTGCAGTTAGTTACTTGATTAACCAGTATGTGCCAGCCATCTCGTAGAAGTCAACACATTGTCATCCTATGATTTAGTTTCTTCTAAGAAACAATAATAACATATTATTGTACCTACTGAAACAAAAAATAACAGTATTGGACCCTGTATGTTGCAGCTTATCAACAGTAACTACTTCTGTAAAACAAAGCTTACACAAATGACAGATTAATGCTTTCTAGACCAGCCTTTGGGAATTAACAATTCTTCTACGAAGAACTCCTCTAACAAGAGAGATGAAGTTCTAGTTGCATAGGCCATTCCAAAGCTTAATTGGGTCAAGTTAAAATGTAGATGAATTTTTTTATCAATATTTGGGCAGTCAAACTGCGGAACAGGTTAGTTAGCATCATGCGGGTTTTCTCATCAGATAAGGTTGATAGTTCACTGATCTTCTCCTCACAATTCATTTAACTCTTATTCTGCATCCTGAGGTCGTGAGACCCCACTGGCTTCATTCTAGCCGCCCCTGCGTGCCCTTTGGAATAAGAAAGGTGTATTTTTATTATCATTGTACAAAATAAAAAAGATATCCTTACTTGTCGAACATGTAGTGAAGTGATCAAAAGAAGCTGAGGAGGTGTGATAAAAACCATACTGTAGTACTCTTTAATTGTTTATATACTCGGAAGGAATAAAATGGATTTATTGTTTTATATCCTATACTCTTATATTGCCATTTTTGAAGACATTATCAATCATATAAAGCAAATGTCGCAAGAAAGAGTGATGCCGAGAATAGCAAATGTCGCAAGAAAGAGTGATGCCGGGAATTACAACTTACTTGTTTGGAATTGAGCAGGTACTGAATGAAATACCCGTCCAATTATGACCGACAGAATTGTCATAAGTGATAGAGCACCCATTGATCCCAAAAGAACCTGGTCAATTTTCCAATAGAACGTGAGAATAACTGCTTCCCACACAAACTTTCATTCATGAATACAGATTTTTTTCACATCTAGACATTAAGCGGCTTCTTCAAAATTATATACAATATTGTTTAAACCTACAGCATTTGAACATCTAGTTTTACATAAAATTCTTATACACCCATTGACCACTATGTATTCATATGCCTACAATTCCTTCAATCAAGTTCCACCAAATAATTCTTGAAAGCATATCTCTACATAACTCTTTCGTGCCTTGATACATATATATAGTGTCACTCGCCTTTTTCTGAGTTCAGGATTATTTCCAGTTATAGTTACCTTGCAATCCTCCTCAGACATAGCAGAACAGCACAAATATGTCTTTCTACCCTTATATGAAGCTAAGACTTGTCCATAATAAAAACAAAAGACTCAAGTGAACAAGTATAACTCCAAAAAATTGCAGACCGGTGTATCCACAAACACACAGATATGGAGATAGGTATACACACACACACACACACACACACACACATACAGAGAGAGAGAGAGATGCACTGAAAGTAGATGTTAGTAGAAGATAATACCAGTCCTTTCCTGTATTGCATGGCCAAGAGTCCAGCAATGAAAAATGTCTGTTCAACAAGAAAAACCATAATTTAAGCTGAATTTAAGTTTGGAAGTAAATAGATAATGCAGCCAAAACGAGAATCAACTCAAATCATTTGACTTTAGCAAAACAATACAGCCATGTACAGGACACTGAAAAGGAAAGAAAGCAGCACAAATGTGTATGTGTGAGAACACCATCATTTTCTAATAAGGTAATAAATCTCACACCAATTCTACTCAACTGAAAAGTTTATCCTAACTACTTGTTGATCAGTTGAAATGGTATGTGAACCTTGGCATTGTTGTATGGTGCCAGTGTGCCATAGCTGCAACTAATGAATAAAAACTCCAGAATATGTCAGGCTTTTCTTTCTGAAAAACTCCAGAATACCCTATACTAAGATGCTAAATAAATGTCCAAAGATTACACTTAACCTGCCTCAGATCTTAACATAACATAGACAGTGTTTCTCTAGCCTTAGCAGTACGGCTGTTCAAGAAGACACATCCATAAACATGAGGGGGAAATGAAAAGGAGAGAATTGGAGATAGAAACAGTTAGGTCTACTCATATTTCTCAGCTATGGTCTAGTCTAGTGTTACACACATTGTACCCATGCAGGGCAAAGTCCTCAAAATCTCTCAAGGGAATTGAGAATTCTACTAGGTAACAATCAAGTATGGATTGGTGTAGCCTTTCCTACAAGTTGATATTAAAAATATGTTTTCATACGTTTTTGGTCTTAAACGTTCTAATATTCGTAACTCAAGAGGATCGTGGAGAAAACTCATTTTTGTTAAGCAAGGGCTAGCCAATGAACAAAAGAACTTGAAAGTTCATGAGAGTTTGATGTAGCCTCCAATTATCAAGAAAGTGGCACCAAATCCTGTTCTCTCACAACTACAAACATATGGCCAATGATTAATTACAGGATATTCAAAATGAGGTAGCATGGCAGTTCTATGACCAAACCAATACCACATTTCAAACCTATGTCACTTATTGAAACAAATGGAGGCAGATAACGAACAATGGAAAGAATCACACTATTCAAATTACTGACCCAGTTACCAACCAATCACAGATAAAACTGCAAGTGCACATAGAAAAATGTGCAACCCTTAAATGCAATTGTTGGGTGGTGGGGAGACAAACATGGATCCAATTAGTCTCAGAAAGGCCAATATTTAACAAGCCAAAATAAACCTATCAATTACCTTATCCCCAATTTCGGACACAAATATTAATGTGAATGCAGCAGTGAAGCCTGACTTTGCAATAGCTGCTAAAATTGATGAAGGTCCTCCCTTTATGAAGGCAATCATTGAAAATAATAAAGCACATCCAAATAGCACAATGGCTATAGAGAGAGGATAAGGAAATTGATTAGGAGGCTTCTCACTGCCATTAATGAAAAAGTATTCATCAGTTCACACTTCAAGTAATCTCCAATCATAGTCCAACTGCAGCAGAACTCATAATATATTGAAATGCATTAAGACTTAAGAGACACCATTGAAGCACATTAAATAATAAAACCAAATACAAAGGCTCATAAGCACTGAGAATACTATGATATTCAAAGACAAATTTAGTTTTGAACCTCAAAATCCAACCTTGTGTAGAACATGCTATTACTATGTCAACTAAAGTAGCTGTGCCATAGACTTTTGACAAAATTACAACCCCAGATCATTCTGTTGATGATTTACACCCAAATTGAAGATCGGGGGAAAACCCAAACTTATTTGTCTATATTTCCAACCATGCAATAAATCTCTTATTTATCTGTCACATAGAACTAAAAGAAGATTTAGGTTTTGTATTTGTTTTGAAACGACTCGAAAAGGATCACTAGCTTCCATTATTGGAATCTGCTGCTTCAAATTATGAATTGAGAGCTATTGGACCCTTACTGTTTTCCATGCATGCAGATAATTTAAAGTAATTATACAAGTATAATTACTTTAAAACTGGTCCAACATCCATAAGGGCTGAAACGTAAATCACAGTGCATATACTGCTAATAGCAATAGTGATGGTTTCGTGGTAGTTCAATCCAAATGAAATTTATAATATTCACGAAAATTAACCGAAAAATCACTCACATATTAGATGAACTATCGCTGCCTGGACCATTATATAAGATTTTTTGGTTGACATTATCCTCTCTTCCTTCATAGCCTTCAGATCCGATGCCAACATTAGAAGCTTGTGCTGTAATTTGGCCATGGACCAAGTTCCTCGGTATTTCCCTGCATCGCACTATGAATAAAGAAACTGTTACTAAATTTTGACACATAATGACGAAATGTCAGCATATACCACATGCATGAATAGAACAAGAAACGTAGCTCCTTCAGAACATGAGATCTAAACATATTACAAAATAGTGCTTTATCAATATTTGTAAATACAGCTCCAAAACCAAGAGAATTTTCATCCCAAATTAAGTTCAAGCATGCCTCAGCCAAGCTGGCTACATGAAAATGGTACTCTCAACTTAAAAAAGAGATAGAAAACACAGATCAAGTATTCCCCTTGTCCAAATGTTATAATAGGTTGGCCTTGCCCCTGCCATTGGTGTCTGCTGTCTGGTTACAGTTGCCCTTTGGAGCCTAAATCCCAAAGCTAAGAAAACCAAGGCACTTCCAGCAATCTGAATAAAGATCCCCCCTTCTCAAAAAAAAAAAAAACATTTAATATGGCAGAGGGCGAGAGAGAGTGATCTAAAACCAAGGAACTTGAGGCAGTGTGGGGCTGAGAGTTAATTTTGGAAACAGAGTAGATTACAGTTGGTAAAGCAGTACACTGGTTGGAGTTCACCATAATTTTGAGATGTAGGATGGAGTTACTTTCTTCTCCTTATATGGGGCTCCCCTCAGGTTCTTCCTTTAGCACCAAAGCTGTATATATTCCATGATGGAAAAATATGAAAGGAGGCCAACAGGAAGGAAAAGACAATAACATTTGTGCAATGAAATTTACATTGATAGAAAATATGTTGTGAAGTCTTTCAACATATTTAGTATCCTCTTAATTCCATGTACACATTATGTGTGCCTCGAAAACAAAGGTGAGCTCAATGTTACCTAAATCGTGGGTTACTTTGATACGTGGGCAAGTACACGGTCCAATACTTTCTTAGGTACGCGAAACAATGGGGGTAGACTCAGCTGGTACAGTGTTTTAGGTCGCAATTTGTTTTGAAGCTCTTACCTAGATTGTCTTTACTACTATACAACATTATATATCATGAAACATCTATGAACATTAAGTCAGTTACCATTTATCTTGCATTTTTGCTTGATTGTCTATTATCTAAAACAATATATAATTACAAATCTATATTTATGTAGTCAATTAATATATATTTTATATTTTGCAACATGTTCTAAAGCAAATCGATTTAGGGTTAGTAGTACAATTGGGACGTGTACATTTTAGTGATCGGGATTGCAAACCCATCCTATTTGGGATCAATGTGCCCAGATCATGGGTCGTCAAAGGTTCAGTGAATTTTAATAATTACGGGTAAGCTAAAAAAATTTAAATAAAAAAATAGTTTTTCATTTCTTACAAAATACTACAAGATTTGGCCAAGAAAGACAATCTCCCTGTGAGTCCCCAAAAAATTGAAAGAGTTGCTCAACATCGAATGCCTTTACTTCACAACTGGCATACAATAGGGCAATTTTACATGTGCAAATACAATAAATTATGTAGCATATCTTAAAAACTTTTGGGACCACGGTCTCTCCTTCCCCCTGGCTGGATTCACCACTGCCTATGTCTCCTTTGAAATGCACCACAAGAGGCTCAAGTGTAGTTACTCCCAAACTGTTCATAATGTTCACTCTACCCCAACCCACATAGTGAAACTTCAGTCTCTTATCTAGGCATCAGCCTACAAGCCTCGCAGAAGGATAAGAAACGAAATGAGAACTCCTCAGGCATTGGGAAATGGATCCACATATTATTAACCATCATCTTATATGCACGGCTAACAACAGTAAGTGATTGACCCCAGATGCACAGTTATCAACAGAAAAGGCTGACCTAAAATTGCTGCCCAACCAAAGAGGCCACATTGGAAGAAAGTTTACAACACCATAAAGACTTGGAAACAGAGGAGCCCCTCCCTTCCAATATTCTGTACTAAGACCACGTATCGGAATTTCTACTCTGGAACCCACTCACCCAGAGCCTATAAGCATACAAGATACAGAGAAAAGCATCCAGCAGCTCCACATCACAATGAGGTCACCTTTATAATATGAAATCTCACAAGAACTCCTCCTAGGAATGTAGCATAATTTGCAAGTGAGACATCCTGATTAACAGCAGTTCTGAGAAGTGTTGAAAGAGATGACTGCAAAAGCCCATCCCACACAAATAACCCAACACCTGCTATAGATCTAAAATTATTGGGAATTCCGCCCACCCACCCAATCCACGGCACAATTCAATCACCTTCATGAAATGAAATCCCACAACAACTCCATGGGGGGCTTAACATAATTTGCAAGTAAGCTATCCAGATCAGCAGCAATTCTGAACAAGTACTAAAAGAGCTGAATTCAAAGGCCCATCCCATGCCAATATTCCAGTATAATCTCACACCCGCAGCAGATCTAACATGTTTGGCATGCCCAAAAAAAAAAAAAAAACTTTTTTGCAGCCTCGCCCATGAGAAGTGAAAACCCATGGTGATTGCCTCAATGCCAATAACATCTCCCTCTCCATATTTCCTTTTTATCACTTTCTGTCAAAGGCTACTCCTCTCCTCTGTGTCTTTGCATCACATCCACTTCCTCAATAATGGTTGACCAAAGCTTCCTAATATTCAGCAGATACAACATATCCCAGGCCATCTCGATTTGGCAAAGATATAGCATCCCCGAATGTTTATCTGACTAACCAGAAATCAACAAGAATAGGCTATATTTATCTAAACTGCACGAAACATCAGCCTGAATCCTCCCACCTTCTGAGCATCACCCATAATGTCTTTTATTGTATTGTTTAAACACAGATTATTAGCAAAAATTATCTAAATTTTCCTTTTCTTTAACATAAATTTGAGGGTTACAACTTCCTTGAAAGCTGTTGGAACTAATCCAAGAAAAGGTTCCTGAATCCTGATAACTGTTGTATCTAACAAACCCGTTTGCAGATATGAGATACCACCGTTAATAAACTGAAAGGAGCAAAAACTGTTTAAGGTCAACACCACAGACAAGCAGGATGTTGGACTACTTTATTCTCTCTTGATTCTCATACACAACATGTCATTTATCAAGACCTCGATTCACCGTTGACATATTCGATTGTAACTCTTATTCTTTGATTCACACGAAACCCTGCCCTCACATAATTGAACATCCAAGACAAAATCATTCAAGAAAAAGCTCATGCATTCAACTCAGCCATCAGTTTCTCTAATGATTTTTTCGAGACTACTCCAATGAATTCGATCGTGCAAAATGGACCCACAAAGTACATAGTGAAACCATAGCATCAAAAACCCAATCACCGAATTTGATCTCTTCCAGTTCATCCCTGCCACCAATAACCAAAACCCACTAGTACAACAACTAGTTACAACTTACTGCATTCTACCCTCTGCTTATTATAATGGTGTAAACTCAATCTACTCCAAAATAGAGCAACCCAGATGCTCAAAATTCAAAATGTTTAAATTAAGTTTCTCCAAAATAGTACCCAAGTTGATCATGAGAGACAGCAATTACAAATCTACATGACACCTACGTTGATATAGATACATACCCATTTTCATACCAAAGTCGAAGTTGGAATTCATGGACAGTTTTTATATGAAAACGATTGAAACCATTAGAAACTGAAACAAATAATAGAAAAGAAAATGATAGAGAACTTACATGACGATATTGATGGTGATGAGGGTGATTTAACTTTTCTGGGTACAAAGGCAGAGGAAGACAATGAATCAACCAAAGCCAACAAGGGAAGCTTTCCTCTTGATATCACCGATGGTTGATGAACCAACCCTTGCATCTTTTTTTCCCCTTAAAAACTCTTGATATTAACACATATCTACCTCAATTCAGGAACCCAACTCTGAATTTACCCAATTTTGTTGCTTTAACACGAATCTGAAGTGATTTTAAGGGAATATGAACTTGAGAGGTTGCCCAGTTGAGTGTGGACTGGACTTGTCTGAGTTCACTCTATCTTGTTCTGAATTTCGTGCTCGGTAATGGGTCTCTTGGAAACTGCCACGTGCACATAGTACGTGGGAGATAATGTGAGGGATGAGGTAAACGAAGGGAGAACTAATAGTGAAACGATGTCGTGTGCTTGGATTATGAATCAATTCAGGCCCAACAATCGTATCAATTCCTGTTGATTCGTATTAAGTTTTAAAAAATTCACATCAAAAACCAGTCATTCCGTACATGACATGTTTATTAAATGGTTAACACAGCACGCCCCTTGTTACCTTTTAATTCTATTTTTTTTTTTTTTGGAGGGGAGAGGGGAAGAGGGAGAGAAAAGAAGAGTTAAACTCATAATATTAAGAAGACAAAATTTTCACAATATAAAAGTACCATTAGACCAAAGACCCGCTAGTTTAATTCTATAACACACATAAAAAATTAATTAAAAAAATATTTGTTTTATAACAAATGGGTCATAATTGTTTAGTAAATTGGTAATTGATTAATATATTAATTTATTAAATGAGTAATCGAGGAATAAATAAGTTAAGGTACTCTACTCGAACACAACTCGTTTAATCTCCATTCCCGTCTGCAAATAAATTTTAATTCACGCCCCTTGCAACTCGACTCCACCTTCACCCCACCCCGCCGCCCGTCTCCCGCACATAACACTCAACTTCAGACCAAATAAAGATGTCATTCCAAGAAACTAAATCCTTTTAAAATATTTCCTCAAACATCTTGCAAGATAAAAAAAATCATAGCCTCTTTTTTTTGTCTCTAACATTTTTTCAATCACCTAATATGCATCGAGACAGAGAGGGTGAGGGAGAGATGGAGAAGGGGTGTGCATGGTTGTCTATGTGTGTTGAACCAGTCCACACAAAGGAAATTGGAGAAGACATATTTTAGAATGTATATCACAAAAGCTCTGATACCAGATAGGATTTTAGATAGAGGTTCAAAAATAGTATTTCTTTTCTTAATTGATTCAATGTACAAGTCTTCTTATTTATAGAAGGAGAGATGTGACAAATTCTACTAATGTGTAGCTATAGTTGGACTAAATTCAAATTCCTAGGATCTTATTTTCTTAGCTGAAAACTTGGTTTCCTCATATTTTGGAGAAACAGTTTCCTTTGTGTGGACTGATTCAGTAACGTGTTTGTGTGTTCTATGTGCATTTTGTACCTATTGCGTGGGTGTGTGCCTGATGGGTACGTGTATTAGCACACTTGAGTGATAATTCTCTAAGATTTTCTATCAAGCATATGGTTGGCAATGTGTGTTTGTTAAGTACATGGAAGTTGTGAAAGGGGTTGTGCACAAAGGGGTGTCGTAGAAGAGGGGTGAGCCTTAAGGGGAGGGGGGTGTTATCTGCGTGTGTGTGTGTGTGTGAAAGAGAAGAAAGATACCTAGGAGAAAAGGAAAGTTGTGGCGTGGTGACCCTAGCAATGTCGTTGGCGCTGGGGGAGAAAGAGAGAGAGAAGAAAAAATAAAAAAGAAGAGATGATGAGTGGGCCATGGTCTGATAGTGAAAATGAGTGAGAGGTGATGGATTTGGGGAGGAAGGGAAATATGAAAATATATATATATATAATAAACATAAGAATGTGTTTGAATTTTATCTCAGTCATATTTTTTCTCTTAAAATTATCATCAATCACTTACCTCACTCATCATCCCTTTGTCAGACTTAAACGTTCACATAACTCATTTCTATCACATATTTAATCATTTATATATTTTCTCCCTAAAAATATCACACCACTCATTTCTATCATATATTTAATCATTTAATATTTAATTAATTTTAAAAAAATTTAATATAGTGGTATCGATTTTTTAGACGTTCGAATTTTATATTTTATCGTGCCTTTAGGCACGAGTTATGACTAGTATATATATATAACGAGTTTAGCGGGGGTGGGGGTAAGTGTAATTTCATCCCTGCACTGGTTTATACAAATATTTTTGTATATGTTTATCGTCCAATATATATGATTCATTCATAATCCAAACAAAACGGGTGAGTCTCCATTTTTCTTTGGTCAATTATCATCCCTACTTATTAACTAGGGTCGGCAGTTGAAGTGGTATGGCCCGATTGGGCGTGGCCCAATTTTGTGGCTCATGGATGAACCAAAAAAATTTTCAGGCTAGCCTAGTCAAGCCTGACAAGTTGTCCACATCATTAATGGTTGGTCCATCCCAATCCCAAGCCTAGAACTTAGTCCGCATTACTGCTTGACCCGGCCCAAAACCCGTGCTTGATAGGAAGCTGAAATAATGACATTCGACCCGTTTTCCCACTAGTCTCAATAAAAGTAGAACGTTATATTTCTAAGAATTGATTGAGATACTAACATGGAGTTTTATTACGTATGCATATGGAATTGTATTCCATTAAAGAAAAAAAAGAAGGGTTTTTCTACCCTTGGTTCTTACCAAATTAGAAGTGAATGGAATTTTAAATAATATCTTTCGATATATAAATTCAAAAGTTTATTTATATACAATGAATAACACTTATAATCCATAGAAGATACGTAGAGTTCACAAAAGAAACCTAAGAAAAGTTTGTTCACTACTTTTCATCATTTCCATTTTTAATGGCCTTTCCTCACGAAGAGATCCCCCTTCCCTAGCCACTGTTAGTCTTCCTCCCACCACTACTTTCACTCTCCCCATCGCCCACTCCCAACAAAACCTCCATAGAAGCACATACACTCCCTAGTCATCGTCATCCTTATCCCTGTAAAAATAAAAAACATCCGTAATGAGTGAATGGCACTTGGGCCTTCATCATGAGTGTCTCTTTCATCTTTCATCTTTGGTATTCCTATTTATTTTTAACTGTGGTTGGTACAACATACAAAACTTACATCCCACCCAATTCCCAATATCCTTGTTTCATCCCTTTTTATATAATTCACACACTATATGAGTCAAAAAAGAAGAAACGATCGTGAAAAGGTAAAAGCAAAAATTGAGTGAGTTAAAGAGTGAAAGAAGTTGAAGATATGAAATTAAGAGATAAAAGTGGCTACATTGAAAATGTAAGGGAGTACAAGAGTGGTTACATAAGAAAAAAAAAATGATAATTTGTAATTGGAGAAAATTTTGCTTTCTAATTAATAAATTAAAATTTTGTGATTTGAATAATTGGGGAGGAAAGATCTCTCATTGTAATTTGGTTGTCTTATTATGTTCATATGAATATATGTTAGGTAAGGGTGTTCATGGGTTGGGTTGGCCCATGAATCCCGTTATTTGTCATGAAAAAAATAAGTTCGAAGTCAAATAGTTAGTCTACCTGAGCTCGAACTCAATTTCCTACAAGAGAGAACTTGAGCTTATTCTCAAACTCATTAACTAACTCAAAACTTAGCCCATAAGTTCACCCGTCAATCCAACCCAGCGCGCCCAACCCGCCTGTCGTTTCACCCAAAAAGTTAGGTGCACTGAATGTTCAATTCAAAAAAAAGAGTTGGGTTCCTCTCTTATTCATAAATAAAATTATTAATTATTTTTTTTCATTTTAACTCTATTTTTAATTCAAAAATATAATATAATAAAATATTAAGTTAAAAAATTTTTAAATGAAATTGCGTGTATATATATAAGATTTTTCTAGTGAGTGACATGGTTGACTACTTGGGCCTACCGTACCCAAGTCTGGCCAGAGACACCCCTAATGTTGGGAGAGAAAAACAATGGCTAATGAAATAAAAAAATAGTAATAAAAGAGAAAGAGAGGGAGATAATGAGAGAGATAACAAAGAGACGTATAGTAAACATAGGAAGGGAAAAGAAAGGTTAGGTTAAAGTTAGGTGAAGTTTGAAATTAATCTTTTCTAAATTTGGAATAGACGTAGAATATTAGAATTCAAGAAATAAACGTAAAATTCCAGAAGAGTCCAAGCAGAGACAATAACAGTCAAAAGGCCTTGAACAAGCAAGTTAGGATACCCAATTATTAATAGTCCTCTATATTTGGTGTTTTTTAAATAAACAACCATCATTGCATAGCCTTGTTATATATATATTTTCTGCTATTGGAAAATAAGGATGAGGGTGAAAAAAAACACCTAAAAATCACTCCGATAGGCATAATAATTTGAATTAAGAAGAACAACCACCCTTTGGAGTATCATCAAATAATAATTCAAGACCCAAATCCAAAGAAAATAGAATTATCAAATTATAAAAAAACAATAACAGTCAATATTGATTCAATATTTATTTTTATTATTGTTACAAGGTGTCCAAGTCTGCACCACCGACTATTCCCTTGAGTTCAGTGAGATCCAATTTTTATTTATTTTGATTTAATTGTATAAAATTTATCCTAATTTTTTTACTTAAAAATATCATATTCTTTTCATGTGTCCTAATGTTAAATAACATAATCAACACTTCTCTCAATGTCAGACAACGTCACTCTACTGATCTATACTTACCTGTCTCGTCTCTCACTCCTAGCTCTCTCTTTTTTCTCCTTATTCATTAATTTTAAATTGCGTAATTATAGAAAAAAAATAAATTATTTTTAAAGTATTAATATTAATTTTTAGTATTGCAGAATACTTTTGGACACAAAATTATTGCTAGTATACATATATACAATGATCAACCCGTGGCTAAATACATTTGGTCTATTAAAAAGTAAAACCCAATAAAAAAATAAAAAAAAATTAAAATTGAGGGCAATTAGCAAAATAATTATTTCTGAAGGAAGATAATTTGAA